AAAAATATAATCAAAATTTGATGGAATTAAAATTTTCCTTTTCTTTCCTTTTATTTTTTTAATTTTTTAAAATTTCATTTAGTGTATTTAGCAGTTGCTTTTGTAGATAGTATCTTTTGTAAATACTTCTAATTTTGTCATTGATAGAATAAATAATTTACTATAATATATTTCATATTAAAATTTGTTCGTTTATTTTGCATTTCAAAAAAAAAAGGAAAAATCGCAATTTATAAGTTAATATTATTATAGCAATTGACTAATGCTTTAATATTTTTTTTTTTTCAAGTTTAATAATTTAAATAATTTGTAATTTTATTTTTTGAAATAATTTGCAATAATAATAGTTCAATTTCATTTTTTAAATTGATTTAAAACAGATTTTTATTATAATTGGTTGATTTTTTTTTTTTTTTTTTCATTGCTATTTTTATCAACCATTATTGAAATGAATAGTCAATTAATTTCTTTTTTATTTGATTTCTTTACTATTTATGATTATATTATTCCAATTTGTTTTTTTTTTCATTCTACAAAATGTAATCGTTAAAGTTAAAAAAAAAAAGTTTTAATCATATTTCATTTCTTTATTAATAAAGATTATGTGATCGTATGTTTATGTTTGATGTTTTGTTTGTTTGATTAATTGAATAAATAGTTTCTATCTTATTTTTTATTTCTTCGATTTCTTTTTTTTAAAAATATTTTTTGTATCTTCTTAATTTCTAACAGTATTTATTTTTTACAGAAATTTTTAGTTTAACAATTTTGATTACATCACTTAAATTTATTATTAATCTTTTTTTCTTCTCTTTCCATTTTAAAATACTGTTGAAAGTTTTGAACATTTTGAAACATTGTGATGAAATGTTGAACTTTTCAATTTTATTTCAGCTAAATATGTACATACAAAAGTATAAGTAAACAATTTTTTTTCTTTGTTGTACTTTAAATATTTTTTTACTTTACAGTCATCAAAGATTTATTTTATTATTACACAATAAAATCATGAAATCACAATAAGCAGAATGTGCTTTTTCATATGCTTAAACTATTCATTCATTTAGTCATATGATCATGATTTATTATGCATTTCATATTTTCATAACTGTTACAACGACATTATCATAAAATCATTATTACCATCATCATCATCACCTTCATGTCATTGTTATCATCATCATCATCATGTCATTATTATTATCATCATCACCATCATTTTACTATTATCATCACCATTATGTTACTATTATCATCACCATCATGTTACTATTATCATCACCATCATGTCATTATTATCATCATCATCACCATCATGTCATTATTATCATCATCATCACCATCATGTTACTATTATCATCACCATCATGTCATTATTATCATCATCATCACCATCATGTTACTATTATCATCACCATCATGTCATTATTATCATCATCTTCATCACCATTAACCAATCATCAATCAATCATCCTCATCACCATCAACCAATCAATCATTCAATCAACCAATCAATCAATCATCATCATCATCACCTTCATGTCATTGTTATCATCATCATCATGTCATTATTATCATCATCATCATCACCATCATGTTATTATTATCATCATCACCATCATGTTATTATTATCATCATCTTCATCACCATTAACTAATCATCAATCAATCATCATCATCATCACCATCAACCAATCAATCAGTCAATTATCATCATCTTCATCATCATCGTCGTCATTATCACTAATGATCGCCATATTCAGCTAATTGAAAAAAAAAGTACATATTTTATTTATAATCTTATTTAATGCGAGAAATTATGCATGTTATTTGCGATTTAATTTCTTCAGGCAAGATTATCTGATGTTGTTGTTGTTAATTTAATAAAGCCTATGGTTACTTATTCAGATATCATTTAAAAAAAGTTTTTTTTTTTTTTTAAGCGAACTAAAATTCATTGCATTAATCGATGAGCAATTTATTCGAGGCATTGCTTTCGTTAGATTGTTTAGTCTTTCACCGTTATTTTTAAATTCTTTGCAATTTTGTCGGACGACAATTTTTCTGCTAATATACTTACTTACTTACTTACTTTTAAATCCATTTTACTACTATTCCCCTTTTCTTCATATATGATCAAATTAGCTTTATAAAGAAAGAAGAAAGAGAGAGAGAGAGGGGGGAAGAAACGGTGAGATAAAGAGAAAGAGAGAGAGGGAGGAAGAGGGGAGAGAGAAAACAAAAAAACTTCAAACTTCCATAATTGAGTATTGAATGTTCAAATTTAATTTTCTGATTTCAAATTATCATAAAAATAAGAAAAGAAAAGGAATCAGATTTTATGCGTGATTCATCATATCTTTTCAAGTATAATTGAACATTTAGCATTTAAAAGTGTAATAATACATCCCTGCAACCAATCTTTAGGAATAAAACTTATAAAAGCCTATACTTATAAACATAGCCTAACTGGCCTATATCAGCTAGGCTCCTTTTTTTTTTTTTTTCTATAGCAGACATTTCCTTGCCTTAGCATCACTGCAAACTTAACTTGTCTTTACTTGCATTATCCTCTATACAAATAACCCTCTATCCTATATAGTTAGACACGGGCAAAATTACCTTTATTAAAAATCTTATCAAAACCGGAAAGCATGGGAAGTAACAAGAAAATAGAACGGAGATAAAAAGGTATGATTAGAAATTAAATTTGTTCCATTCAAATTTCATCTCTCATCAAAAAATTATTAATTACTTTAAAAATATCATATTACAATAGAAATGATTATTGTGTATAATATTTACAAGTGTGAATTAGTAATACTAATAGTAATTGAATAATAAATTCCTTTTTTTTTTTCTTTATAATTAAATAGCTTTAAAAAAAAAGAGAAAAAATCATATATTCATTACTTATAGGACACGTTTTAAACGTTTTAAACGTGTTTTTTTGCAACAAAAATGGCAAATACTTTTATATTTTACGTAGATATTTTTTCATTACAATTATTGTAAGCTAACAAGGAGAATAATTAATTAGCAATAAGCAATGGAAAAATTGCACATGGATTGAAGAAATGATTTACTGAATTAGTTAAAAGTACTTTTATTAATTTAAAATGGTAATAGGAAATTAATCAAAAAATAAATAAATAAACAAAAACAACAATTTAATAATAATAGTAATAGTAATAATAATTTTCTCTTTTTTTAAAAAAAATAGCAAAAGTGCTAAATGATCCAATTTTAGAAATGAATAATTAGATAAAGAGAGAAAGAGAGAGAGAGAGAGAGAGAGCAAAGAGAGGGAGAGAGAAGAAGAGAAGAAAAAAAAAGAGGAGTAAATTATATTTCATTTGTTAAAAGGAAAAAGAAAGGATAGTAATTAGTGATAATGATTGAATGTCACAAGTTTTCTTTCATCGTCATTTGTCAGGTGCTAGCTACACTAGCTAAAAAGAAGCAGAAAAAAAGGAAAGACATGATCGATTGCTAAGAATGATAAGAGAGAGGGAGAGGAAGAGGGAAAGAGAAATTTCTTAATTTCGAGAGAGAGAGAGAGAGAGGGAGTTTTCTTAATTCATCCCGAGAGAGACAGAGAGATCCCTTAATTCACTCCGAGAGAGAGAGACTTCTTAATTAATTAATTTCATTCATATCATATTATTTCATTTCATTTCATTTCATTTCATTTCATTTCATTTCATTTCATTTCATTTCGTTTCATTTCATTTCATTCCTTCGTGCTAATTTACACAGAATGCATCAGATTCGTTTTTCCATTCTATCGCTAATGCAAGATGGAAGATAGCAGCTGCAAGTAAAATGCAAAAAGCTTACTTATACGATTTTAAGACTTTTAAATTGAATGTTAATCGGAAATTATTCTCTCTTCATTCATTTCACATTCTTAAAATTTTATTCATTCATATTTTATTCTAAAGATTTTAATAAAATTTATCCTTTCTACAAATATTTCATATGACATGCATATGTTAATAAATGAAATAATGGAACAAGAAATTGAAATGTATATATAATAATGAAATAATGTAATTGATAATAAAATAAGTAAGACTGTTAGGTTAATATGCTTTAATTTGTTTATTAATTATTGTCAACGTAAAGCATTGTTTATATTTTTCCTAAATAATATTGTATTCGTAATTTTAATTATTTAGTTTTTGAAGTTAGATTTTTTCTTTTAAGAATGTATTTCTATTCATATTAGCTATTGTTGCAAAAAGGACAAATTTTATTTTTATTATTTTTTTTTTTTAATTTCATTACTCATAATGAAAAGAATTAGTTAAGCATTTCATTTTTAAAGTAATATAAATACTTAATTAGCTTCTTGATTTGTTAAAATTATTTTTGCCTATATGTCATTGTTGTTTTCTTTTTTAGTGTCATTGTTGTTTTCTTTTTATGCATACTTTTAATTTGTTTCTCATAATAGTAAATGTTCTAATTTTTAGTTAAATTCATTTATAATACCCAAAATTGATGGACTTTTAATTTTCTTCTTTGTTAATTTTTTCACTTTTTTTTTCTTGCAATTATCTTCAATATTACTACAATTATTGATACCAAATCAATAAATCAATTTTAGTTATTAAAAAAAAAAGTAAGAAATGATAAATGAAATTTTTTAAAGTTTTAAAATATATTACTGTAATTTGAAAATGGAATGAAGAAATGATCACCTTTTAAAATAATATAATTTTTTTTTTGGTAATGACAGTCTCTGTGATCTTTATTCTTCCATTGCTCAATTTGTTACAAACTTTTTCAAGTGAAATGGGACATTTCTTTTCTTTTCTTTTTTTTTTAGGAATAAAACCATACGTGAAGGAAAACGAAGAAACAAATGGGAATATTTATTGATTTTTCAAATCGATCAATCAATCAATGTTTAAAAATCAATGAATATTTATAAAAGATAATTAGGCAGTTATCATCATTCATTTTATTAAGACTTTGTGGCAAAAGTTTGTAAAATGCGACGATTATTTGGCTATCGAAAATCGCATCAATCCTCCAATGATGGACAAAGTTCAACAGGTAAAATTGTCATTAATTAATTAATTTATTTATTTATTCTAAAATTTTATTTATTTGGTACATATCACATAAGAATGAATGAATGATTGAATTTTTTTTTTTTTTTTGGATAATTTAAAATAAATTTATGGAAAATTTTAAGCAGTAAAAAAAAAATTCATCATATTAATTATCATTAGATCTCATTATAAAAAAAAAAAAAAACATAATATACAAACTAGAGATTATTTCAAATCCAAAATTAAACAGCAAATTTTATGAATTTTTTTTTTTTTTTTTTTGATCTTTTAAATTTACTATTTTTTTTTTATTTTATGATAGATTAATAGGTATTTTATTGATTGTAGCCTACATACTTTCCATATTAGTGAATATTTCAAAAAAGAAAAAGAAAAAGAAAAAAAAAATGATGGAAAACTGTAGAGAAGAACCATTTAACCATTTATGAGAAATAATTAATTAATCAAAGTAACTTTTTCCTCTTAGTATGCCACGAAGGTACATTTTTCCTTTTTTTTTTTTTTTCATAAGTTATTTTCTGACTTTTTCTTCCTTTTGTTTCTGTGATTATATATATATATATATTTTTTTTTTAAATAAAAATTTTCAAAGTTCACTACATTTTCTTTTATGAAGAGATTCAAACTTATTATTAAAAAAAAAAAGAAATTATCATGCCATTTTATAATATTTCATTTATATAATCATCTATTTTATATTCTTAATACTTTACTTTATAATTTAACAATACTATAAGTAATACTTTACTTAATTTAACAAGACAAATAAAAAAAAACTTTTGAAAATGAATAGAAGACAAAAAAAAAACACAAAAGAAAAAATCAAAAAATAGAAATACAATATAGAAAAGATTATCCCTCTTAAAGTTATTCAAATTAGCTTTTATGATTTTTTTTTTTTTTGCTCTCTTCATAATTCTGTTAATGCTTCCAACATTTTACAACATAATTTCTCATCGATCTATTCATCCGTTCGCATTCATTCATTCATTCATTCATTCCATTTCATTCATTCATTCATTCATTCATTCCATTTCATTCATTCATTCATTCATTCATTCATTTCATTCATTCATTCATTCATTCATTCCATTCATTCATTCATTCATTCATTCATTCATTCATTCATTCATTCATTCATTCATTCATTCATTCATTCATTCATTCATTTCATTCATTCATTCATTCATTCATTCATTCATTCATTCATTTCATTCATTCATTCATTCCATTCATTCATTCATTTCATTCATTCATTCATTCATTCCATTTCATTCATTCATTCATTCATTCCATTTCATTCATTCATTCATTCCATTTCATTCATTCATTCATTCATTCTTTCATTCATTCATTCCGTTTCATTCACTCATTCACTTTCCATTCATTGATTGATTGATTCATTCATTCATTCATTTCCATTTTGTTCCATTCTTTCTTCAAAGGTCATTCTTCTTCTTTCCTTTCATTTCTTTCTATCCCATCATCATAGCTCAGTTCAATCAATTTCATTTCATTCATATTTTGTAAGAAACATAAATTGTGAATGTCTTTTTTGCAGCACCATTAAATGATGAACAGTTATTCGGGATCGATACGAGTAATAGTGAATCGAGTGATCTGGAACTATTGAATGAAGGATTATTACGTGGAAATAGTGGTTCAGTACAATTAATCAACAACAATAACAACAACGGCAATAACAACAACAGCAATAGCAACAACAATAACAATAACAACAACAACAACAATAATAATCGTGCTAGTGGCAGTCATCTTTCTAGGGTTTTTTATTTTATTCTCTTTTTTTTAATCCTATTTTTAAAATTTAAATAAGTCTTTCTCACTTTTCTTCTCCCTCTCCCTCTCTCGCTCTCTCTCTCTCTTTCTTTCCCTCTCCTTGTCGCTCCCTCTGTTTAAATAAATATTAGTAAAAGTAGAATAATTAGGATAAGATACTTAATCATTTCTTATTTATATTCAAATTATTATAATAGACCAAAACGATTGCTAATTATACTGTAACATACTGAGAATAAATGAATGACTGAATGAATAAACAATTATAATAATTAACCTTATGAATTAGTCATTCATTCATTCATTCATTCATTCATTCAGTCAGTCAGTCAGTCAGTCAGTCAGTCAGTCAGTCAGTCAGTTAGTCTGTTAATCTACCAAAATGAATGAATGGATAAAAGGAATTACAATTTGGTCCTGTTAGCAACAGATGGACTAATTCTAATCAATCTGTCGATAATTCCTTCTCTGTCCATCACTTCTTTCTTTCACTATTCCGCAATCAAGAACGGATCTTTCAGATTGATACACATTTTACATGTCTGTTTATGTATGTGTATGCATGTGTGTGTATGTGCATGTGTGTGCATGCATGTGTATGTGTTTGTATATATATATATGTGTGTGTGTGTATGTATGTTTGTATGTCATGTATTTCTATTTAGTTACTTTAACAGTAATTAGAGTTAGTGTTAAATTAAATATTCAAATATTATGAATTATTTAGAAAAAAAATCAACAAATTTTTTTTGAGTAAAATGATGTATTCATTGATAAAATCATTTTTGAAATTACTGAAATTGCATTCTTTTTTTTTTTTTTTTTTTTGAAAATTTTTTTTTTTTTTTTAATAATTAAAAAAAGCACTTTTTATGATGAGAGGAAAAAAAAAAGTTCATTTGATACTTCTCATTTTCTTCATTAGAAAATCAAATCTTTTACTTTTTATATTATTAATAAAATTTTTCATTATTATTTGAGTAGATACGTGAAATTTGTACGTGTATATATACGTGTACATATACGTGCTTACGCTTATTAGATGCAAATTATACATTTACGGCTAATAATAATTATTTGCAGGAAGCATTTTTCACATTTATTTTATGCAAAAATTTTTACGCTTCATTTGATTGCAAAAGAAGATTTGTTGAGTTAATAAATTTTAGATTTAGATTAAATTTTTGCATTTTATTGAAAAGTTAGATTTAATTTACAATCTCTTAAATTTAAATTCCAAAGAAAAAAAAAAAGAAAAGAAATAAAGAATGAAAATATTCAAAAAGATGTCTAAAGTTATTATTGATAATATAAAAAACATAATCTTTTTCTCGTTTTTTTTTTTAAACTAATTTAATATTTTTTATTTTTGCAATATCATAAATCTTCTCATCTTCATCTTTTCTGATATGATATGATATGATTTTCCGAAATAATTATAAATACTTAAAATTATTACATTTTTTTTTTTTTGTTTATTTAATTTATATGTAATGAACTACAGAAAATGATTAAAAAAAAGATTGTTAAAAAAAGATTGTATAAATGATTAAAAAAAAAAGAAAAAAAAACGAAATAAAATGAAAATATTTACAGCAACATCATCGAATCTCTCGAGCAAAACGTAACAAACGTGCGATGCGTTCCGGTGCTAATACGGTTGCAAATTTACGATCCAAACGATACCAAATGTTAAAAACTGAAGGAAACACTCAATTTCGTTTACATCCTACAATTCGAGCAAGACAAAATCAGGTATATTCTTTAATATAATTCGAGCAAGACAAAATCAGGTATATTCTTTAATATAATTCGAGCAAGACAAAATCAGGTATATTCCTTTATATCATTCGAGAATGACAAAATCAGGTATATTCCTTTATATCATTCGAGAATGACAAAATCAGGTATATTCCTTTATATCATTCGAGAATGACAAAATCAGGTATATTCTCTGATAATTAATAACCTGTTAATTTGCAGTAATTTAATTTAGTTTAATTATCATCTAAAATCAATTATGTTTTGAATGCAAAATTATGCAATGTTTATAAGAAATGTTATTTTGAATTCATAACAGCCGAAGGAAAGAGAGAGAGAGAGAGGAGAGAGAAAGAGAGAGAGAGAGAGGAGATATTAAGATGAATAAAGATAATTATAAAAACCATTAGAAGTACGACAATTATTAACCTCTTACTTACTATAATTTACTACTTCATATGCATTCGCATGAAGAATGACCTTAACCTTGGTGACATCATACAATGTACTAAAGAAAATTAATATAAATGGATGAAATATGAATAATATTAATTTGAGTATTTCTTATTTCCTCTATCATTTTCTTTATATTTTTTTCATTTTATCAAATTTTAGATATTTTAGTCTAATATTAATTAATAATTATTCATTAAAATTTAGCAATAATTTCCGACATTAAATCAACAAAAATAATTGAATGAATGAACGAATAAATATTCATTAAAATATTTTAAGCAAAAAAAAAAAAAAAAAGAGAGAAAAAGAAAACTAATTAATATTTTGCATATATTAAACTTTTAGCTTTTGCAATGAAAAAAAAGAAAAAGTTAATTATAATTGCTATCATTTGTACTATGTTTTAATCATTCTATTATATTAATTATTTAAAAAATATTAATAACTGAAAAGATTTCTTTTTTTTTTTTTGCAATATTCCATTAGTTGAAACCTTTTTAAGTTTTGATATATTAAAATTGCAAATTTTGTTTGATATATCGTTTTTTAATTTGCTTCATTTTTATTAATCAAAATTTGCACAATTTTCCACACAAAAATAATTTACCAATGCAATTAATAATAATTATAATATTACAAATATAATTAATAATTAATTCTATCATACATTAATATACTTTTTTATGAAGCGTATTAATTTCATATTTGATATTACGTCATATTACGTCATTCCGTCATATTACGTCACTTGATGACGATGACGTAATGGGTGTCAATGAAAGAAATTGACTAATTCACTTCAAATCTTTTCTTTTTCTTTTTCTTTTTTTGATTTTTAATAACTTAAATTAAATACTTCCTTCTTTCATACTTTCAACAATATTTTTTTAAATTTAATACTTCTTTAATCAAAATTTCAAATTTATTTTTTTTCAATGATAATTTCATAATTTTATCTTTCTTTTTCTTTTCTTTCCCTCTCTCTCCCTCTCTCTCTCTCCTCATCTTTTTTTCATTATTCCAATCAAAAATTTATGCTATAAATTTTTTAAATATACCAAAAAAAAATTTCTAAAGTTAATTGTTTTTATTATTTGTTAAATTTCATTAAACTTTTCAACAAATCATTCAATAATTTATTTTATTAAATGTAAAAAAAAAATGTTTTATAGCTAAATATTTCTTTAATAAAAATTGCTTTTTTCGAAAAAAAAAAAAAGAAAAGAAAAAGAAAAAATGAAAATTACTTACCATAATTTTATTGTTAGTATTTTAGAAAGGAAGGAATTAAATTTCAGCTATTTTCTCGGCTATTTTAGCATAGAAAATTATTAGCCAAAAAAAAAAGAAAAAAAGAGAAAGAAAGAAATGAAAAAATAGTATTAGCTTTGGCTATCAAATTTTCATTATTTAATTCTTTTCCGATTAAACTGGCAGAAATTGAAAGAACCTATCAGAAATGATCACAAACAGGTTTCAAACTCTTTTTTTTTTTTCTTTATTGAAGTAGATGAAACTTAACACTTTCTTTCTTTCATCCAAATTTTATCAGAATTATTAATTTTTAAAATTATTTAAAAATTATTCAAAATTATTTTTAAAAAAACCATTAAAAAAAACTATGAATTTCAATCTTTTATTTGAAATAATTATTAAAAAAAACTTATGAATTTTAATCTTTTAGCTTTATTATAGTCACAAATTTAATATTCAATTTTTTTTTTTTTTTTTTTATTCTCCAATTGGCTGTTTGTGCTATTAGCAATTTGAATAATTTATTTAATTGCTATATCTTTTTTTTTATTCTTTTTTACTGCATCAATTAAGGAAGAGTTTAAAAATTAATCAAAAAATGCAAAAAAAAGAGTGAAATGTTTTGGGTTGCATGCATTTTGCAATAAAAGAAATGCAAAAATGCATGCATGCAATGAAAAGGAAATATTAAAAATATTATTATTATTATCATTGTTATTATTATTATTATTTATTACTACTATTATTTATTGTTTATTATTATTAATTATTATTGTATTATTGTATTGTTTATCATATTGTTAAACAAAACTATTACTTATTATCTTTAAATTAATTAATTTAAATTAATTAAATTATATGGTTGATTTTTCCAGATAAATTATTCCAGACAGTAACACAAATCATTCAGTTCTACAATAATTCGAGAGCTTATATTTTTATTATTTTCAATTTAACTCATGAAAAATTCATAAATATTAAAACCACCTGTCTTTTTTTTTCGTCTTTTCAAAAAAAAAAAAATTATTAGTAATAAGAATATATAATGATGGATACAATGCATATAATAAGTTAATAATTAATTTACTATTGAATAGAGCAATGCAAAAAGTTAATTACGACTAGTTAGAAATGAAAAAAAAAAGTTAGAAAATAATTTTAATTAGTCACAAAAATGAATTTAATAAGCAATTGCTAATGTATATACCATCAAATCATTTCTTATAATTATTTTGATAGCTTTTTTCTTTTTCATACGACAAATTTATTTCTTTTCAAATACGATAGTTGTTTGTGTTTATTAGCTTTTAATAAATAATTATAGTATTTCTTCTTCTCAAATTTATAATTTTTTTTAATTCCTAAAATCAAACATTTTTTTCTATCACAAAAAAAAAAAAAATTGGAGGGAATGTTTAAAAAATAAAATAGTGCAGTAGATAGATTGAATATTTAGGAGGTTGATCGATTAATTATATAAAAGATATTTGAGTTGATATTACTCATTTATAAAATTTTTTCTTTCTTACCATTAACTTTTCATATTTTTAGATTAAATTTATTCTTAAGCTTAAAATTTGACAATTTTTATCTTACTGATTGCATATTTTAAATTTAAATTTTGATATTTCTTAAAATGATTGCTAATATTAATTTTCAAATTATTGCAACTGCTAACTTATGATAATAATATAATTAATTACATTTTGAGATTTTTGTTAATAAATTATAAAAAGTATTAGTCATCTGATTATTTTTAAAAATAATATCACATCATTTAGTGATAATTTTTTCAAAATTTTGAATAATTTTTGCATTATCATTTCTCTTTTCATGCACAGAAATTTTATTTATTAAACGTTTAACTTATTTAATTAATATTAAATTATTTAATTTAACATTTTTTGATTTCAATTTCTTTCACCTGAATTAATCTTGCAAATATTTATAAGTGAAAATAAATTTTTACATTCATTCCATTTTTATTTTCTTTTATTACTACTACTTAACAATTTTTGTAACTATTTGTTATCCACCTGAAATAAATGGATTTTCTATAATTTTGGGATATTTTTAAATCAGAATTGGTTTTTCCTAATAAATTCTTCCAAATTATTTAGTGTTAGAATAATTTGTATGCTTCTATTTTGATTATTTTTAATTTAACTTATGAAAAACTCATCAATGTAAAAACCACCTGCCTACTTCTTTTTGACCTTTCAAAAAATACCTTTTGAAAAAAAAAAAAAAAATGATTTCTTTCTTAATATTTCTTTTTGGAGGTCATCAATGTCTAATCATCCTCTCTTCACTTCACTTTACCTGTCTTGCATATGTCCTTGTAATATTATTGCTCCCATTCTTATCTCTTCAATTTCAATTTTTAAATTTTTGATTTTTTTGGCGGTTAATCCATTTTTGTTTTAAAATTGTTATTGGAACCAGTTTTGGTTCATTTGGCGGAAGGTGGAAAAATAGAAAAGAGAGAATTTTGCGCATTATTTATTTATCGAAATCTCTGCATGAGCTATAAATTGAAATTTATTACTCATTGATTCAATTCAGTTTGTCACATTGGCACTAATTGCTTATTTGATATGCTTTGATTGAAAATTCTAAAAATGATTTCATTTTATTTGTTTAATTTTAATTGCACTTTCAAAAGTTTTTCAAAAGTATATTTTTTCAATTTGCAAATTTTCTTTAAAATTGTTGTATTTGAACAGAAATATGAAATTTTAGAGTACAAATTGTGAGCAATTTAAAATTCAAATTCAATTTTTTTTTTCAAAATTTTTTAAAATTTCTTTTCATTTAGTACTTCATAAGAGATCGATAATTTTCTCTTAAACAAAGATTTGGAAAGCTATTGAAATTTTTTTTTTTTTTTTTCAATACTGCAATAGCATTTTAATATTCCATTCACTTCCACTATTGTAGTAGCATTTTAATATTCCATTCACTTCCACTATTGTAGTAGCATTTTAATATTCCATTCACTTCCACTATTGTAGTAGCATTTTAACATTCCATTCACTTCCACTATTGTAGTAGCATTTTAATATTCCATTCACTTCGACTATTGTAGTAACATTTTAACATTCCATTCACTTCCACTATTGTAGTAGCATTTTAATATTCCATTCACTTCCACTATTGTAGTAACATTTTAACATTCCATTCACTTCCACTATTGTAGTAACATTTTAACATTCCATTCACTTCCACTATTGTAGTAGCATTTTAATATTCCATTCACTTCCACTATTGTAGTAGCATTTTAACATTCCATTCACTTCCACTATTGTAGTAGCATTTTAGCATTCTAAGCATTTCCGTCCTTGTAGTGGCACTTTAAAATTCCAGTTCTTTCTACTGCACTTCTACTATTGTAGTAGCATTTTAACATTCCAAACATTTTCGCTCCTGTAGTGGTATTTCAAGATTACAAACAATCCCGCTATTGTAGTAACACTTCCATTATTGTAGTAGCATTTTAACATCCTCTAGCTATTGTCACAGTATTTTGCCAGTTTCATTCCTTGGAGATTATTGTTCATAAAAAAAGCAAAAAAAAAAAATTTGAATTAGTATAAAAAATAGATTATATTTAGTTTATTTCAAAAATTTGATCTTTTCATTTATTGATCAATTAGATCAGATCGATTACAATTAGATATTATTGAGAAAAGTGATGTCGTTAATTTACTTTTCTCACTTTAACGAATTAAATATTTCATTTTCAGTAAGCTACAGAAATTGAATTTGCAAGAAATACACATAAAAACTGCTTGGCAAAGAGAGACAAAGAGAGAGAGAGAGAGAGAAAATAAATTATCCTTACTTACTTTTATAATACTTACTTAAATTACTTCCAAATAAAGTTTTTTGATACGAAAATTTTTAACATATTTCGATAAAATTTTACTATATTTCTCAAATAATAAGTTTAATATCAAAAAAAAAAAATTTTTTTTCAATAAAAATTTAAAAATAATATATTCTTTTATCTTGTTAAACTTTCTGAAATATTCATGAACATCTTATATGATAAAATACACCTGTAATTCTTATAAAATTTTTAAATAAACAAAAAAAAAAAATTCATGAAAGAATTATTTTGACGAATGATATCTCTGATGAATAACTCTGACGAATTTAATTATTTATTCTTTCAAAAAATATTTAAAAATTTGTTTATTTCATATCGTTTTATTATTTATATCAATTTTCAAATGTTTTTTTTTTGAAAAAGTTATATGGAATGAATGGAATATAAAAAAAATTTTTCATCCTATCATTCCTGATTATATCTTTTTCAAATTTTAAATTTTGTATGTGTACTTCCTTGTTCTGTGTGTATGTGTGTATGTCTGTACATCTTTACACCTGTCTGCCGGTGTGTATGTGTTTAATTCTGGATCCGTATCGCCGCTATGTGTATCCGATATATGTATTTATTGTCGTGAAACTTTGTAATTTCAACAATTGTCACCAAATGTCAACCTTTTTGTCCTCAAAAATATGTCTGTCAATCATATGATTTACAAGTAATACAATAATTTTTCAATAGTAATTGTTGTAACTTTTCAGAAATGATAATATTTGAATCATTTTTAGCAATCATAATTGATAACTTATGCAATTCTTGTCAATACTGATAAGTGAAAATGTGTCATACACTTGTTGAAAAGGTGACAATCAATTTAAAAGATTGCAAAGCTTTTCAAATTTTTCTACCCTTCATTTATTGATGTAGTTAGGTATGCTAAACATTTAAAAAATCTAACATTTTTTGTTTTTTTTTTTAAAGCTTGTTTTGATAATTACTAAATATTTTGATATTTTCTGTTAAAGTTTAACTGATAATAAGTCTTCTAATATCTCAATATTTTTTATATAATTATTGATTAATTTAAATTTTTTGATCCAATTTAACTGGTAATAAATTTTAAAATTTTAATATTTTTATTATCATAAATAGATTTGAAATTTCTGATAGAGATACTAAGTTACTAACTAGTCTTTGCATTTCTCATTCTAATCAGTTTATTTTATTTATTTTTTTTTAAAGTATTTTATCATTTTCTGAATCTGATTATTCATCTGAGTAGCTTTTTAAACTATTTTATCATTTTGAATTTCATAAAAGTTTTCTTTCAACATTTAGCTAAAATCTCGATAATGATAGTAAGATTATTCCTTCATTTTAGCTAAAATTAGTAGTTATATAAAAATTTCTTTCCCACATTTTAGTAATAGGAAATTTAATAATTCCTTTTTCATATTTTAGTAAACTAATAGATATTTCTCATATTATTTTAAATTATCTTCAATTTTTCGTATTTTTTCATGGAAAAAAAATGAATTTTGTAATTTGATTTTATCATAAAAATAAATATAATAGCCCAATTAATAATTTATCAAAAATTGAAGAATCAATTAGGGAATATAACAGTCTGTGTATCACTCATTAAATTGATGCAATTAGTTAATCTTGCAATTTCATTAGAAAATTTTGAATTCATTAGAAATGACATTAGGTGATGTTAATTAATTATAAATTATTATTCATTTTACAATTTATCAACCATATCGGATGAAAATAGTCGTAATAAATCGTTCAACTGCATGCATTGCACGCCTTGCATGCAATGCACGCAATATAATGATGACTGTAGTTCAATATTGCATTAAAAGAGCAAATAATGAATGAGTAAAAATTAATTATCTTTTCGACATTCTTTGTTAGTATATTTATGTTTGAATAAAAAGTCATAAAATTTTGTTTTTTTCAAAAAAAAAAGAAAAAAAAAAAACGAAAAAATTATTTTTTGAGAAAAAGAAAGAAAAAAGTTATTTCTTATTGAATTTTTAAAGGAGAAAAGGGAGTGAAAAGAATGGAATAGTAAAAATTTATTTATTTTATAAATAAATAAAATTCTTTTATTGTCACATTGTTAAATTGTCATCCTAAAATGAATAAATAAAGAGTACCATCAGCTGATAACATTTCATTCTCTATTCTTTCACTTTTTTTTTATAAAATATATTTCAAAGCAAAAGAAAAATTAACTTTTCTCAATCGATGAAAAAAATATTTTTTATTCCTTCTCTCTTCCATTTTTTCTTTCTTTTACTTAAGAAATTTTGCATTTTTCAAATGAATGCTTTACACACATACACACATACATACATACACACACATACACACATACATACATGCACACACATACACACATACATACATTCACATACACACATACATAATTTGCACTTCCATAACAGTTTGTTCATTAATTTTTTGTCATTTTTTAACTAATCTATTATGAATAAAATGACAAATTACATAGATATTTCTTTATTAATAATTTTATATATGAAATATAACTGATTGATCGTTCTAAAAAAGGAAAAAAAAAAATTGAAATTCTATAAAATGGATGGATGTATATTTGATGTCCCATGTTGTCCCCAATTAAAAAAGCATTTTCTTTTCAATAATTGTACTCTCCGTCTTATCATATTCTCTTTCTTTTTTTCCCTTCTTCCTCTCTCCCTCTCTCTCTCTCTCTCATTTTTTCTCTCTTAATTTTTGCTTTTTTTTTTTAATTTGTGCTTTTAAAATGTCTATCTTTATTTTTATCTCTTATATCTAATGATAACCCTATTGATAATTTTGATAATTTACAAAAATCATACTTATCTCTTCTATCCATCTTATTCAAATCGATGATCATTTTTTTTTTCTTTTTAATTAAATAACGAGAAAGAAAATGATAAAATAGAAAAACGATAAAATAATTTGTTAAAAATATGTCTTTGTTTTGTATGTATGTATTGTGTGTGTTTATATTGAAAAAAATAAAAATGGAAAATTTAAATTTTCAATTAGTTCTCGTTTATATTTAACAAAATAATGGAAAAAGAAATTAAAATAATAAAAGAAAAAACAATAATAGCAATGTAAATTTATAATTTTTGTCATATTTACTATATCTGAACAGTTTTTAATGAAATTTCTTCCATATATTCCATTAAAAAAAAATATTTAATTCAACTTGGATTTTTTTAAATTTCATTTTTTTACCTAATTTCATCAAAATATTCGCCCATAGCTTATAATCATTCTTCCATTCGATTATTCTATCTATAGCTCTTTTCATCAGATTATTCATCTTTAGCTTAGCAAAGAAAAAAAAAAAAAGAAAGGGATGGAAAGATTTATTTTATTATTAATTCATTTATCCGAAATTTCAACTGTAAAATTTACCTAAAATACAATAAGACTTATTTCAAAAAGCGATGAAAATTGATCAAAATTTAAAAGAATTCATAGTGCATTTATAAACCATAAAATAAGTTATAATAACTATTTTAACAAATAAATTTATTAAAATAGAAAGTTTAACCTTTTTACATGTAAAATTTCTATGACAGGCAGGTTACTTTCAAAGTTCCTCCTCTCTACCGTTCATTCATTTAATTGTTGTTACCCGGTGGTGACAAAGGTTCAATGATTTTGGGTTCACTTCATTCTTTCTTCATTGTCATTTCTACTTTTGTCATCATCCTCAGCATTAACCTCTCTTCGTCGATCATTAACCTTCCATTCTAATTCTATCAACTTTCTTTTATTCCTCATTTCACTTCAATTGTTAATTTATTCCATCTTCACTTCAACATCTGCTTAAAATAACTCTCTCTCTCTCTCTCCCTCCCTCTCCCTTTCTCTTCTATTCCTCCTTTCCTCTTTTCAATCATTATTCATCTCTCCATTATTTCATGTCATATTTGTCATCAAGCTTATCTTCACTAAATTATATCCCTCTTATATGTTAGCTTCTTTATTTACCTGATGAGCAATAGCTCATTTACCTCATTTAACAATCTCACTTATTCTTTTTTTCTTTTTTCAAAATTATATTGATTAAATTTGGTTGCTACAAACTACTAACAAGGTAAAGAAAGATATATATCAATTCAATCTGTTACTTAGTTACCGCATTACGACAACATTTCACATTTCCAACTAAATTCTTTTTCTTTCTTTTTTTGTTAGACTTAACTGAATCGATCATTATGCTTATTTATTGTTCTCTTCATTTAACAAAATAAAACTTTACAAATATTTGTTTATTTAATATTTTAAAAAGGAAAACAACAACAACAAAAAAAAGAGCAAAAAGATTTTGATTAGTTATTTTGATTATTTCTTCCAGGTTTTATATTCATATAAATTATCGCATCGACTATATACGTATATTCCGGATTTTCAACATTTTCATCCTCTTTTTTTTTGCTGCCTTTTGAAAATTTTCAATTGCATATTTATATTTACTGACATAATTTTTGAATTTCAATTATATTATCGACAAATGGAAAAAGGGCAAACAACAATATTCTTCACTGTAATTCGTTACATCCATTTTCGGTCATTTCATTGAAATATTTTAAAAAAAGAAAAGAAAAAAAAAAAGAAGAACTCATCAACTACTATCTTCTTTTTTTCTTCTCTCCCTCTCTCTCTCTCTCCCTCTCTCCCTCTCCATTTCTTTTCCTTAACACATCAAAATTGTCCATCAAAAAAATTTGACAAATGGCTTGTACTTTACAATCACTACGAATTGGCCGTACATTTGACTGTGATTACCCGCAAAATGAAAAAGCACTAGCGGATGATACAAGCCAATCAGCAATACCTGTAATTGGACAGGTGGATGAATTAAAGATTACACCTGAAGCAGTATGCTCGACGAAAAGTATCATGTTAACTTATAAATTTTACAAATATCGTGATAAATTGATGAGTCTAATCGATGGTTCAAGAGGACAATACAGGGTATGTATTCATTCATTCATTATCATATTATCATATCAATCATTATCATCATTATCTATCATTATTTGTTTACAAACAGTTCTTATCAAAAATTTTTTTTTCTCTTTCAAATGAACTATGTCATATTTGTAAGTAATTCTTTTTTCTTTTTTATTCTTATCCTTTCATTTTAGTTTTCGAATTAATAAATATTAAAAAGAAAAAAAAAATAATTTTATAAATGTAAGTGCTAATATGTATAATTAATTGTGTTCTTTTACTTATTTATTTGTTTTTAATTTGATATTTTTATAATTAAAGCTTGCTAATTAGCTACTGATTATTAGCTTAGGAATTAAATTTTTTTTTTTTTATTGAACATTTTTTTTTCTTCCATTTCTTAATATTACATCAATTTACAAGTTAAAGTATCATTTTTAACTGAGCATAATATAAGATAGACAAATATTGATTGTAGTTTTTTTTAATAAAATTTAAATTTGTTCATAATTGATATTGAAAGGGTTTAAAAGACATTCGATTCAAAAAAGCACAAAGCACTCATTTTTCTTTTTTTTTTTTTTTTGGTTAAATGTTTGCTTTTTATTCGTTCAATAAATTCGTTACATTTTATTTAACTTAAATTTTCTTTTTCAATGTTCAATTTTCCTTCCTTTTTTTTCTTTTTCATCCTTTAATTGTTAGAATTAAATGAAATAGAAAATTTATGAAATTTTAATAGTTTTTATATTATCATTCAATCAGATTTTATTGTTTTTTTTTTTCTTTCTTTCTTGACTAAAATCGAAACTCAATTATTTATTCTTCTTGCAATATATTCTCTTAATAACTAATTTAATTGCTATTCTATTGATAATTCAATAGTTCAATAACTGATATTCTAAAGATATTGATAACTCATTTAATTTGATAATTCAATAACTGATATTCTAATGATATTGATAACTCATTTAATTTGATAATCCAATAACTGATATTCTAATGCTACTGATAACTCGTTTAATTCTATTGACAATTCATCCATTAATTTTATTCCGATATATTTTATTTTCATCTTTGTTGTGACTTTTCTTTTTTAATTACTACTAACTTCATATTTTTCCTTTTTTTTAAAAACGTAATATTCAGTTTGTTTGTTTTTTTCCTTAGCAAAATTTAAATTTTTTGTTAATTTGCAACATTTGCAATAACTTTTTCATGCATATAAAATTGTATACTTTTTTATGTAATTTGCAAAGTTTATTTTGAATTTAAAACTTCAAATTGATTCCCAACTTTTATCCATAATTGATTATTAATTATTGATGATATTAGATTATAAAAAATTAATTTGATTAATTTATATATTTTTTTCCTATCATACTTTACTTTACTATAATTCATTTAATTTACTTAACTGTTTATCCATTCTAGCATAATATACAAATAGCAAAGATAATTTTGAATGATAATTTAATGATAATTTTTTTAATTACTGCTTTAATAGTAGAAGTTTTCCATTTTTTTTTTTCATCTATTCAATTGCTATAATCATAATAATCAATGTAATTATTAAATAATTCATTTTATTCATTCAAAAATTCTCTTTTTATAAGTTCGTAATTTTAATTAAAATTTTAAACTTTAAATAAATAAATGAAATTTAAAATGGAACGAAATCAAAAATATGACCATCTACGATAGCAAAATGACCAATCTCTTTGATTACTGGTTGACATAGTTGATCATGATGATAGTGACGATGATGACGATGACGATGACCTTGAGGACTTTTGATCCTTTAGCTACGGTACCCTTTAGCATCTGTGTCCATTTAAATCTTTTTGCTATATTTTGTATGTGATGTATGTGACGACGACAATAATATCTAATGATATATGTGAAAAGTGAAAAGTAATAAATCAGATGTGCCATCTGTCCAATTTATTATTTTCCTGTTTACTACACTTTCTTGGCTATTCATTTTCGAGATTTTATGCCTAGTTTAATCATATATATCACAAGTATAAATTTATTTGTAAAAATTTTTTTCAAATTACTTTTATTTTACAAATTAAGTATTAATGAAGCATTTATAATTTATAATATTCATTTTGAATAAAACATTTTACATTATCCATTGCTCATTTATTTTTATTGCATATTGATTATTTTATTGTTTAATGTTCCAACTATTTAATAATTGATTATTAATTAAAAAAAAAAAGAAAAATTTTCTACATTTATTAATAATGACATTCAGATCTCTTATCTATCTAATTTTGTGTATTCTAAAGAAATACTTTTAGATTTTATGATAATTTCAAATTTTTTAATAAAAAATTGAGCAAATTCCTTACGCTCTAATAAAATATAATAGATAAGATAGATAAAATGGGGATAAATTTGAATATCTCATTTAAAAAAGATTTTACGATTAAATTAATTAATGGTATTTAATTATTTCATATATATATAAATGAATGTTTATATTAAATCATAAACATTTATTGCTGAAAATTATAAATTTTCTTCAATCAGTAATTATTAGTACAACTAACTATTTGAAATAATGATTGATGACAATTTAATTTTGTTAAAGCAAAATTATAATCTTACAATTGGATATAAAATTTTCATTTTCATATTTTACTTTATTTCATTTTTTTTTTATTTCTTTCTTTTTTTCTTAAATTATTTTTTCCTATTTTTTTGTTTAAAAAAAAAAAAAATTTAACATTCCCAAAATATTCATGTTTATTTTTTATTTTATAAAATTAACTGTATTGTTTTTTTTTTTTTTGTCCGAAAAAAATATGAAAAGAATAAACCTTTTGAAGATAAACTTTTATGTATGACTGATTTTAGACTGCATTTTTACTTTCTTTTTTTTTTTTTTGTTTTATTTTTTAAATTATTTTATCTTCCTGATTTTTCATCAATGTTTCCTCTCAACATTTGCTAAAATATTGATAGCAGCCAATCGATAATAATAATTTTAGATAAACTTAAAAGTTAAATTAAAATCTCTTTCTCATATTTTAATAAAATAATAAATATTTGTGATCAGTTTTTTTTTTTTCATATTGTTTTTAAAGAAAAAGAAATGATTTTTGTAATTTGATTTTATTCTAAAAATGATTTCTCCAATTGAATTTCTTTTTTTTTTAAATTCTAATAGAGAATTTATTTTATTTTTTTTTTAAAATCATCTAATTAATTATGATACTATTGCAATGTATAGTAATCTTTAATGCTATTGTTACAGTCCACGCAGAGAGTTAATTTTAAGATTTGAAAGTTTAAAGATAAAAATTGATAACTTTTTTAAATTCTGGTATTCCAATCAAAGTGTTATCTGTAAAATGATTAAATAAATTTGTAAATAAATCAGATAAGATTTAATATTTTCATTTATAAACTCTGATAATATAATTATTTATTAGCTAAAATTTTAGTTGGAGAAAAAGAAAAACGATTTTAGTGAAGAAAAAGAAAAAAAAAAACGAATTCAAAAATGAAAGTTATCAATTATAAAACTTTCTTTTTCTCCTTTTTTTTTTTTTGCAAATGCTAGATTATGCACATTTTTTTCGAAAAAAAAAAAATTTAAATTTAACAAGTAGACATTTTTATCAGCACTTTCATTATTCATGATAAATTTTTTTTCAATATATCAGTGATAATGGGTAACACCCATGCCTTCATTATTCATTTCTTTTTTTTCAAAATTTCACTCTCATTTTATCCATTTCAAATAGCTAACTTTTTACAAAATTTTAATCTTTCCCCCCTCTTTTTTTTTTTTTTTTTTTTTTGTTGTTTTTAATGATTTAAATGAAATCATTAATCGATAAGCTGAAAAAAGCTACGAAAGTTTTTTTTTGATAAATTTTGTTAAGCACATAAGAAAGTAAATTTTTTTTTTTTAACAAATAGTATCGAATTACTTCAACATTTATCATAAAATCGATATATTTTATGATATATACTGACGAAGCATTTTTTGAAGTTTAAATTTTTCTTTTTGCTTTTCTTTTGATTTTTTTCTTCATTCGTAATACAAATGTAATAATAAGATAATATTAAATCAATTTTTACGATCATTTTTGTGTAACTTTGTTGAAACAATAAATGAAATATCAATTAGAATTATTAGCATTAAACAAAATCAATGATTTAGATCGAAAGTTACATTTTTCTTTTCCATAAAAAACTTTAACTATTACAAAAAAAAAAAAAAATTTTTTTTTTTGATGATCATAGATTAGAGACAAACTAAATGTTAATTATAGGTTATAAATCAAATTCAGTAACAGATTTGTAGGTATAAATAAATTTGTAAGTTATAAGTTTAGATGTTGAACTCTTATTTAACTTTATTTAACAGTTTCTTTCATTGATGAATGCTTAGTTCTTCAACCTTTTGTGAAACAAATAAACAAATAGCAAAAAAAAAAGAAAGAAAGAAAGAGCAAATGTTAAAAAAGATTAAGTGATAGAAGAAAGTTTTTTTTTTTTTAACATTTATCTTGTAAACGTCATAAATTTTGTTTGCTCGAACAACATGTACAATTGTGCTCTTTGAAACTTACTAACAAAAATAAAATCAAATAATATTGTTAATTTGAAAAAAAAAAAAAATGAAAAATAATTGATTAATAGTAATAATCATTACTTACACCCTTAACAAATGAATGAATTATTTCACTTCTTTTAAATGAATATTTTCAGTTAATTGTAAAATTCATTTTATAAATTTTAATAATTCTCTCTCTCTCCCTCTCTCTCACTCTATTTCTAACTTCCTCACCCACCCGCTCTACCAACTTAATTTGCTTGAACGTCACAAGGATGCAGTGAATACTAGTTTTATTACGACTGGTAGCAAGTACTGATAGGAGGTTGCGGCAGATGGTGGGAGATATCAGCGAGTGATAGCAGGTAGTAACAAGTGGTAGGTAGCAAGTAGCCGGTGGTAGCAGGTTGTTATATGTGGTAACAGGTGGTAGTAGTAAGTGTAGCGAGTTGTTGATGTTAACAGGTGGCAGCCAGGTGTCAAGAAGTGGTTGCAGGTGGTAGTATGTGACATCAGGTGCCGACAAGTGGTCGCAGGTGGTAGCGGATGTCAACAAGTGATAGCGAGTGGTGGTAGATAGCAGTAGGTGTCAAGAAATGGTTGCAGGTGATAGTATGTGGCTGCGGGGTGGTAACGGATGTTAACAAGTGATAGCGAGTGGTGGTAGATAGCAGTAGGTGTCAAGAAGTGGTTGCAGGTGGTAGTAAGTGACATCAGGTGCCGACAGGTGGTTGTAGGTGGTAGCATGTGGCGTAGCAGGTGGTAGCGGATGCCAGCAAGTGGTTGCAGGTAATCGTAGGTGGCGATGGTTGTCAACAAGTGGTTGCAGGTGGCATAGCAGGTGGTAGCAGGTAGCGGATGGTGGCGGGTGTCTGCAAGTGTAGTAGGTAGCAGTAGGTCTCAACAAGTGGTTGCAGGTTATAATAGGTGGTAGCAGGTGTCAACAAGTGGTTGCAGGTGGTATAGCAGGTGGTAGCAGGTGTCAACAAATGGTTGCAGGTGGTAGTAGGTAGTTTCAGGTAGTAACAGGTAATAATGGTAGTAAACGGTGGCAAGTAGCGCCAAATTCCAGCAAGTAGTAGTAAGACAACAGCTGGTGGCAACAAGTGGTGACATATGGTAGCTGAAATGACTACTGCTTCATGTTTATTTTCAAATGCTTTTTGAAATACGAAAAAAAAAAGGAAAGGAAAGGTTTTTATTTGGAGTTTTAATGAGGTTGCAAAGATTTTCTGATGTTTGATTGATAGCGCTAAATGTTACCATTTCTCTCTCCCTCTCTCTCTCTCTTCCCCTTCCTTCTTCCTTTCTTATCTTTTGTTCTCCCTTAATTTACTTAAAAGTTTTATTATACATCTTTTATATTATATATTTCCTTTTAATTTTTAGTCAAAACAAACAAAAGAAATTCTAAATTTCCAAAAAATTAATTTAAAAAAAAAAAAAACCATTGAAAAAGCTTTTAAAAAAAATACAAAAAATCTATTATTAAGCTGAATTTTCATTAATAATATTTAGTTATTCTTAATTTATTAATAATATTTATGTTAATTTATGATAATATTTAGTTCCAAAAAGTAAAAGAAATTAATTCTTTACAAATTTCAAGCATAAATTACTCCATGATAACCTATTACCAAAGGTGCAGGAAAAAAAAATGTGAACTGTCGCTTTTTTAGAATTTAATTATTGAAAAATCAATTCTAAAAAAAAAAAAAAATGTAAGGATTGAAAAAAAAAAAATTTTTTTGAATGAAGATTAGACTTTGATTTTCTTTTTCTTTTTAGTAGATAAAAGTTTAGTTTAAAGATTTTTCATTTGTAACCTTTGACTTTTTAAAGAAAAGATGAAATGTTCTTGTCTTTTTAATTTCATTTACTCTCTCTCTCCCTCTCTCTCTCTCTCTATCATTTATAGATGAAAAGTAGGGGAAAAAAAAAATTAGATTTTATATGAAGTCAATTGTCACTTCCCTTTAGTTATATTTATATATATTACTTGGGGAATTTCCTTTGCTTAAATTAAACTTTAGCTAAATGAAATGATATCAGAGCGATCGAAAAAGCCTTTTTACAAATTTATTTTCATTGAAAATGTTCTTTGCTCTATCATTTATCATTTTTTCTAAATGTTTAAAAATTTCATAAAATCATAATCATTGATTATTAAATTACTCATTAAATGCAAATTTAACTGATAAAATAGATTAGTTATCATGGGATGGAATGGAAGAAAGATTAGTGGGTTCATTTAATTAAAAGTTTAATTTAAAATTTAAAGTAAATTTTATCAGTGAGCAATATTGTTGAATATTCATACGTTAATTTTGCTTTGCTTTTTTTTTTTAAGTTTTTTTTTTGAAATGAAATTGTAAGATTTATGAATGAATGAATCGATAGAAACTTTTTTTTTTTTTATTTATCATTAATCTTTTTCAACAAAAATTCGTCATCAATATTTAAACATATGAATTATGATAGGAGTGGATTTATTTTTATCCTCTATTTATTTATTTATTTTTTTTTTTTTTTTAGAATATGTTAAAATTGAATTTTTGCCTTAATTTTAAAAGGAGATATGAAATTAGCGAGTTTAATTTGCATATTTATTTAAAAAAAGAATTTAAAAGAAAAAATATTTATTTTAAAAAAGAAAATTATAAAGTTTTATTTCAGAAAATGAAAAAATATAAAAAATTATTATAAAAAAAAAGAAAAATCTTTTTAGAAACATCTTCTATAAAGTTTTTTTTTTTTTTTTTTTTAAAAAAAGTTTAAATTGTTTAAAATATATTTATTAAATAACTGATTACAGATGTACTTAATAACAACTCTTCTACCTGTTCAGTCCGATCAACCGCTCATCAATCGTGTGCTACCTAAAGAACTCATTCTTAGGTAAAAATATTTCCATTTTTTTTTTTACCTTAGTCTCAAAACATTAAATAGTTCCATATTTCAGCTTAAATTGAATTCAAAAATTTTGTTAACAAAAAAAAAAAAAACGGTTTGCAGGATGGAAATTTTCTTCTTCTTTTTTTTAATTTTCATTATCAACTATTACCTTGAAAATTTTCTGGGAAAGTTTTAATGAAAAAAAATGCCAAAATATCGTTTAATCATTTACAATTGCTTTCTTTTATTTTTCTTTTTTTTTTAAAAAAAAAGAAAACAGAAAACCAAATTGTTTTAAAAAAAAATCTATTTTCGAGATTTTTTTAAAATTTTTTAAAAATTTTAATTTTTAGGATTTTTTCATTTTTGGATATTACATCATTATGTCGATGTGCTCAAACATGTCGTCATTGGAATCTGTTAGCGCTTGATGGTAGCAATTGGCAACAAGTTGATCTCTTCCAATTTCAAAAAGATATCAAGGTTAGCAATTCTAATCTTTTATTATCAATTATTCTTATCATTTTCACTTATTTATTATCTATTTGTAATTACATCAATTATTGTTTACTGTTATTATTGCTATTGTTACAAAATATATATATATGTTTACAAAATTTATTGAATACTTCAAACGAATTGTCAAATTTTATTATTTTTTTTTAATTTAAGAATTTTAAGAGCTAGATAATTCAATTAAAAATGATAGGAAAAGAAAGTTAAAAAAAAAGATAAACAAACAAAAATTATTCGTATGAATACTATTACTACTATATACTTATCATCCATCTTGTGGATGTCTTAGGTTATCAACTTTTCGGTACCACTGTTTTTAAATTTTATTGCAAATCTTTTTGATACTAAAAGTAATCAAAAATAATATCATCTACCTTTTTCACCAGTGCTATTATTGTTTATCGTTTGTTATTACTTATTGTTATGATTTGTTGCTTGTTTTTGTTGTTCGTTGTTATTATCCCTTTTATTGTTGTCCATTGTTGACTTGTTGCTGTTGTTGTTGTCGCTGTGATTGTTGTTTTTGTTGTTGTTGTTATTATCATTGTTGTCGTTGTAGTTAATTACTATAATAGCATTTGCTTTAGTTAATGTTTGCTATACTAAGTTGCACGTCAATTTATTGAAGGTTATATTAATTCAATTTTATTCATACATTAAATAAACATATAAAATGTTACTGTCAATAGTAATTATTCAATTTTATGAATTTTAAATAAAATGAAGACATGGTTTGCGACAGCATGTGACAGTGTCATTTTAGATACTTCAAATTTACTTCACTTTATTTCAATTGTCCTATATATTTATTCATTCATTCATATTTACTTACTTATTTATTTATTTATGCTCCGAAAATTTATATCTTCTTTACTCTTTTCACCTAAATTTTACTTCATTATATCGTTAAATAAATAAACAAAGTAAAAAAAAAAAATGTAAATAGAATTGAAATAAATTGTTTAAATGAAACAATTAATTATTCATTCTGTTACTTTTTCAACTTTTATTTTTTGTTTCCCTTTAACATTAATCAGCAGCAAACATTAATTAACTGATTTTTTTTTCTTTTCAAATCATTGGAGTACTTTGTTTTTTTTTTTTTTTGTTAAAAAAAGAGAACCACTAAATTAAATATCTATGGAAGTGCAATCAACAAAAGTTGTTGATGAAAGATTTAATGAGTCTTTTCTTTTTTGTTTCTTTATCATCCTAAAAAGTTTTTTATTTTATTTTTTTTTTTTTTTTTTGTTTAGAAACGAAATGGCAAATGGATAAATGAAGTTTAAGTTATTTTCAAATAAATGAGCAATACCAAACAAAATGGAAAAGCATTTAAAAAAAAAAAAAAAAAAAACTGTCTGACACTAAAATTTAATTAACTTAAACTATTAAGCATTCTAAACTTAAAGCAACAAACTATATTAAAAAGAAAAAAGTTAATTAACAATTTTTTCTTTTTCTAAATTTTAACAATTTTTCATATTTTCAGGCACCAGTAGTGGAAAATTTAGCCAAAAGATGTGGTGGTTTTTTGAAAAAGTTAAGTTTACGTGGATGTGAAAATGTACAGGAAAATGCTTTACGTTCATTTACGTTAAAATGTCCAAATATTGAACATCTTTCATTATACAAATGTAAACGTGTCACTGATTCGTAAGTTTTAATCTAACGTTTTAATTTTTAAATATAAATTTTAATCTAAATCAATCATTAAAAATAATTTAATTTATGCATTATATCAAATTATAAATTATATTAATTCATAAATTCCTATTTTAGAATTTAAAAAGAAGAAAAATTGCAAATTTTAATCCAACATTAGATAATTTTGAAAAAGAAAAAAAAAATAAGATATTACCAACAAAGCAACACTATTTATCAATTTTTGAAAGAGAAATTTCATTATTATAGTAAAATTTCAATTTAATTTTCTCTTTATGTCATTCTTTACTACTTCTCACATTCAGCTATCAGATAGCATTGATAAGCTGAAAATGAATTATTAAATATTTATTTGATAAGAAAACTGTAACATTGCAATATTTCTTTTTAATTCAAAGAATGTGAAAATATAAAAGAGGAATTTCACATAAAGTTATTAAATATATTAAAAAACAATTCGAAAATCTAATGATTTTTTTTTTAAACTTTAATTTTACATGTGATTAAATTATGATCCAAAAAAATTATAAGAAAAATTCAAGAAAACTAAAAAAAAAATTTTTTTTTTTTTTTTTGAAACTATTAATTACAGTACATGCGAATATTTGGGAAGGAATTGTCATCGATTGGTATGGTTGGATCTCGAGAATTGCACCGCAATAACCGATAAATCTCTCAGGGCAGTAAGGTATGATTTTGCTTTATTGAATTTTTAATCAAAACAAAAATTATCAATAAAATGATAATCAGTTGAACAAAAATTCTTCATTTCCAATAATTTTTTTTTTTCTAATATTTTTGTAAAATAATGAAATTTCAACAATTTTTTTTTTCTTTTTTGCAAAATAATAAGATTTTAATCTGAATTGAAATAAACTAATTTAACAATTATTTAGTGAAAAATGATTAAATAAAGTAAATTTAAAATAAAAATGATTTAAATGATAAGAAAAAAAGAAACATTTCATTTATTAATTAATAATTACAGTGAAGGATGTAAGAATTTGGAATATTTAAATATTAGTTGGTGTGAAAATGTGCAAAATCGAGGAGTACAAGCAGTACTACAGGGTTGTCCAAAATTAAGTACTCTAATTTGTCGTGGATGTGAAGGAGTAAGTAAATTTAATTTTATAAATTTTTTTTTTTTTTAAATTGAAATTCTTAAAAAATTCTAAATTATTGTCGTAGTCATTAAAAAAAATTTTCTTTTTTTTTGGATAAAATGCAAAAAAATGAATATATGAAAAACTCTTTTTCAATTAATTAAATTCGATTATGCAAAAAAAAAAGGTCAAACATTAAAGGTTAAATTTTCACTATTTGATATTGAATTTTTATAAAGGAAAATTTTATATAAATATATAAAATTTGAAATAATTTGTAAAAGAAATGAAAAAGTAAATATAAGTTAGTTTAAAATAAATTTGATTAATTGATTTATACTATAAGAATGAATGTACTTTTACTTTTAAAAACTAAAATTTATTTTTCACATGTAAAGATGAGAGTGATGAAAGGAAAGGAATGATCTAATTAAAATTCACACTTTTATGAATGTGAAAAGGAATAATTAATTATTAATGAATTTTTTAGCAATGAAATTATGAAAGAATTTAATAATAATCCAAGAAGTGATGATGCGAAAATTTTATTAAAATATTCAATTAAAACATTAAAATTAATGAATTTTTTTTTACGTACTCAAATTTATAAAAGTTATAAAAATATATATATATATATATAAAAGAAGAAAAATGAATAATTAGCTATAAAATTTAAGTATAATACAATGCAGGTTTTCTTTTTAATTTTTAAATATAAAAATTAAATTTTCAGTTAACAGAAATTGTTTTTGCGGAAATGCGTAATTTTTGTTGTGAGCTACGAACAGTCAATTTACTTGGTTGTTTTATCACTGATGATACGGTTGCTGATATTGCATCTAGTTGCTCACAATTGGAATATTTATGTTTGTCTTCTTGTACCCAAGTTACTGACAGAGCTCTTATCTCACTTGCAAATGGATGTCATAGGTTAAAGTAAGTTATACTATCACAAAAAGGAGTAAATAGCTTTAAGTTATACTATCACAAAAAGGAGTAAATAGCTTTCTTTTTCTTTTTTCATTATTTATTAAACAGTTATAATCTTGTTCAAATGACATTTATAAAAAATTAAATTATTTAATTAATTTTGAATATGTAAACTTTTACTTTTTCATAAATTTTTTAATTTTAAATTTACAGAATAAGGAAGATTTAATCTTTATTATTACAAATTTACACTTACTTTCATTGAATTCTTAATGATGCATATATCATTTTTTTTTTTAAATTATAAAAATTTACTTTCTGTAAACAAATTTCTCACCTTTTTCATTTTTTTTTTTTAAAGTTTTTGATAATAAATTTACGAATTATTTTAGAGATCTCGAACTGTCCGGATGTTCCTTGTTGACCGATCATGGCTTTGGTATTTTAGCAAAGAATTGTCACGAACTTGAAAGGATGGATTTGGAAGATTGCTCGTTGTTAACTGATATCACATTAGATAATTTCAGTAAAGGATGCCCATGTCTTCTTAATTTGGTAAGAATTTTTTTCTTTTTTTATTTAAATACTTATAGGAATTTTAATATAGAAATAGTATTTGTCTTTTTTATTTTATTGAAAATTATTAATTCATCATTTTAGTGGAATAATTGTATTTGAAATAATTTAATTCTCTGATAGTATCAAACAAAATGATAATTTAAAAAGACAGAAATAGAAATAATTATTTCATATATATAAAAAAAAAAAAAATGGTAAATTGTTTTAATTGTTTATTATTATTGATAATTTAGTGTTTATTATTAGTGATAATTTAAAAAATAATAATGATATGTTATTAATTTAATAATATTAATAATATGCTATTACTTTTTTTTGCAATTTCAACTTTTTTTATAACTGTAGTAAATTTTAATTTTTTTTTTTTAGATAATTTTATAACAACAATATTTTATAGAGTCTTTCACACTGTGAACTTATCACTGATGCGGGTTTACGACAGCTTTGTTTAAATTATCACTTAAAAGATCGAATCCAAGTGTTAGAATTGGATAATTGTCCTCAGATCACAGATATTAGTCTAGATTACATGAAACAAGTGCGCACTTTACAACGAGTTGATCTATACGATTGTCAAAATATTACTAAAGATGCTATTAAACGTTTTAAGGTATTATTTTTCAACTTTCAAAGAAAAAAAAAATTCTTTAAATTGATTAATTTTTAATACTTTAAAGTTTTAACAATAAACAGATTAATTGTTTTTATTAAAATATTCGAAATATTATTTTACTTTGTTGATAATTCATTTCTTTTCTTTTTCCTCAACTTTCTTTATCAATTTAAATTTACTATATTTACATACAATTTCAACAACATAATCAGAATATACTGTTCATCGTTTGATAACTAATCTTTCAGTAATCTTTGATCATTTATTTGACGCTTATCAATTTTTATCACTTATTTATTATTAAATTACATTCCACTTCTTTTCCTCCTCCTCCTCCCCCTCCTTTTTTTTTGCAGAATTTGAAACCAGACGTGGAAGTACACGCATACTTTGCACCTGCCACACCACCCACTTCAACACAACCGACCCGACGAGCTATTTGTCGCTGTTGTACAATCTTATGACTATCTGTCATTGCTGTTGTCACATTAGGACTATTTCAATATTACGACAACTATGAATTAAATGTTTTTGTTGATCAAAGTTCCTGTAGTGATATGAATGATTATCGATCGATTGATTGTTCTATCATCTGCCGAAATTTGCTTTATTTCAAACCTTATCACTGATATGCTATTGTTAATGATAGAAATTATTATATACTGATGTATTATTACTTTTACTATACAATCTTTCAGATTTGCTTTATTTCATTTTCTTTCTTTTTTTGAAAAAAAAGCATTTCCTTCCATTTTTTTTTTCTTTTTCATTTTTATGATTTTATCAATTTTAGTGGAATAATTTAGTACAAAATTTCTTTCTCCTTCCATCTATTATTTGTTAATGTTTGATTAATTTTTGCAATTCGTTTATTTTATTTGTAACTTCGATGTTTTCTTTTACTTCTTCTTTTCTCTCTCTCTCTCTCTCTCTCTCTCCTTTTCTCTCTTAAAAAGACCTTAAAAGATCTTTAAATATTGCAATAGTTGGTTAATGCAATTAATATATTTGAATGTTTTTTTTATAGCTCCAAAATTATCATAATACATTTTCTTCATAACAGCCATTTTAACACTTCATTGTTATTATTATCATTGCTTATCATCGCTATTATTATTATTATTATTATTATTATTATCATATTAGTTATTGCAATTATCAATTATTATGGCAACAATATTATTATTATTATTATTTTCACTAATTAATAAACAATAGTTTAATAATAAAGTAATGACAAACAGTGATAATAATAGTAGTAATAATGGTGATAATAGTGATAATGATAATAATAGCAATGGTAATAATGATAGTAATGGTAATAATAATAATAGTAATGGTGATAATGATGGTAATGGTAGTGATAATAATAGCGATGGTAATAATGATAGTAATGGTAATAATAATAATAGTAATGGTGATAATGATGGTAATGGTAGTGATAATAATAGCGATGGTAATAATGATAGTAATGATAATTGTAGTAATAATAATGGTAATGATAATAGTAGTAAAGGTAATGATGATAGTGATGGTAGTGATAATAATAGTAATGGCAATAATGACAATAATGATAATGATAGTGCTAATGTATATTATCATGGCATTCGTCTGTTTTACTAGCTAATATCTTGCATAATTCTTTTAAGAGAATTTGACTGAAAAAGATTTTTTTTTAGTAAACAAATTTAAAATTTAATGAAAATTATATATTGTATTGGTTTTGTTTACTGAAATTTTTCTCCTCGAATTTGGAATGTTTGTATTTGTTTTTTTTTTTTTTTATTCTAAAGTTAAAATTTAAATGCTTTTATGTGATATTATCAATTCGTCAAAACTCTTTTTTTTCTATTATTATAGGACCGAATATTCTTTCATTTTCAAATTTATTTTACTTTTTTTTTTTATTTTTTTCAAAAATATTTAATATATTGTATTCAAAATGAAATTTTTTCTTTTTTATCTTTTTCTAGTATAAGAATAATAACTTTCAATTTTTTATTTCATTTTTTTTTTTTCGTTCTTCACATTTTTCAACATAGCTATGAACATTTATTCAAATTTTAGATGTTAGATTTTTTGAAATTTATTTATGCACACTTTAGCATCGATCAATAATAGCTCTTTCCTTTTACATTTCATTTTTTCATTCTTTCCTTCTTCAGATTTCCATTTTCCACTTTTAAAAGACATTCAAATTATACTAAAAAAAATAAATAAATAAATAAAACCCATATAATTTAATCAGAAGCAAATGCTAAAGTAAATTTTTCATTTTGTGCAAATTTCTTTTAATTGTTTATTTTATCAATTCATTATACAAATGTTTTCATTACAACAAACAAATAGAAATGAAATTTTTTTTTTTTTTTTTTTTTGAAAAAAGCAACAAAATAATTGTTTGCTTTATTAAATTCATGTATATATTGTTTTGCTTTGATTGATTTATTTTTCATTTTTTGTAGTATCAATTGTTTCCAAGTTGTTTGTTTATAATTCTATACAAAAAAAAAAAAAAAAGTATTTTTGACAAATTGTATAAAATTGTAAATCAAATTAGATTATTTTTAATTTTTATCTTTTCTTTCTTTTATTTTTATTTTACAAAAAAAAAAAAAAAAGGAAGCATCCTTTTTTTTTGAATGTTGTCAATTTTAATAACAAATAAAAAGACAATTAAATAATTTAATTTAATCAATTAAGGGTATTTATATATATTAAAATAGCCTTGATATATGTATAGTATCATTGCTTTGACAGTGCTTTGCTTTCAAATTTTATATATAAATAATTTAAATGTAACATAAGAATAAAAGTAAATATGAAAAGTAGAAAAAAAAAAATGAAATTGGATGTAATTTTTGTATCATAAAAGAATTTTATCAATTTTTTTTTTTTTTTTTTTTTTGTTTTATTTACAGTTTCTTTTTATTTTTTATTTTTTGTATTTCTATTCATTTTAGTATAAATTTTTGAAATGTTTTCTTTTTGAAATGTATTCTACTTAATAAAGCATACAAAATAAACATTTCCTTTAAAATGCATTGTTTATTTATTTATTTTTTTTTTTTTCAATTAAATTATTTAATCACATTAGCCATGTAATATCAATAAAAAGAAAGAAAAAAAACGAATTGATTTTTTTTCATTTTACCACTTCAAATTTTTAATATTAATTCATTTCAGATTTCTTATTTCAATTATTTTATTATTCATTTCCTTCTCCCATAATTTGCTCAACTTTTCATACAATTTTTCTAATTTTTGAAAGAAAAAAAAGCAGTAAAATGATAAATATTTATTTAATATACAAAATAAATAAAAAAGGAATAAAATAACAATAAATATTTATTAATTTTTATATTTCACCAAAATTTTTCCTTTTTTATAATTCATTGCTGTTTTTTTCCAAAAATTTTGCGTTGTGAGCCAAACATTTTTTTAACTATTTTAATTTTGATTTGAAATGAAAAGAAAAATACAAAAATATTTAATTTCTAAATTAAATATGAAATAATTAACGATACAATATTACTGATAATTCATCTATTAAATAATTTCCTTGACACTTCAAGAATGATAACAGTGATAAATTTATTCCACAACATTTGTTACATAAAAAAAAAAAAAAATGAAATAACAATGATAATGACCTTTTTCATATGCAATGACCTTTTTTAAATTCATCCTAAAAAAAAGTTCACTGTTCGATTCATTGCTTCAATATTTCCTTATCACTTTAATATACTCTAATTTATCAATTTATTTTTAATTGATTATACTTAGAAATGATTTTAAATGCATCATTATTGTTTTTAAAAAGAAATGAAAAAATAATATATAATAAATAACAGACTGAAATAAATTTAATTTCACTAATAATTTTATAAAATATTTTTGCAAAAAATATTTTAATATAATTTTGTTGGTAATGAATGCAATATGATATGCAAAAAAGATAAATAATATCAGTGAAACTATCAGTAAACAACAAAATTTTCTCATAACTATTACCATTCAATTATTTTAATTCTTTTGCTAATGTTATGATAACAATTATCAATAATCATTGATAATTAGCAACTTTACCTGTCATACAGCTATTAAAATTAGTCCTAATAGTATTTCTTTTTTTTTTAAGATAAAAGAAGCATGAAAATTCCATTCTTTCTTCTTCTAGTACTTTTGAAAAATTTAAAAATTTCAAAAGATTAGGAAAAAAAAAATATACTTTTGAATACATTTTAAAATATTGGAAAGGAAAAAGATTAATTACAGGAAGAATTTTAATGATAATTTAGAGAGATTATTAATCACTTACAATAGCATTCTAATGATATAAACAAGAATATGCATCGTTTTAAATTTTTTCTTTTTTTTTTTTTTTTTTAAATTTCAATTTGAAAAATGACAATATGAACTTTGACACTACTAAAATGTGAAAACAACTGCTTTGTTAGCGCAACTGTTTTCTCAGCTTTCTTTCCACTCAAATGACAAGTTTAGTTTTTTTCTTTTTTTAAAGTCTAGAAGGAAAAAAAAAAAAGATTAGCTCAAATTGACATTCTTTTTGGTGAAAGTTAAATTGTAAAATTACTTACAGTTTCAAATTAAAAAAAAAAAAAGAGAGGAAAATATATATATTCCAAGTAGAAAAAATTAATATTATTGAAATAAATTATTTAATATTAATAAAAATTTGCTTTATTTATTAAAACTGATAATAATTATTATTTATGCATAATATTTATTATATCATTTAGCAATTTTGATTAAAAATAGAAAATTATGTTATCTTTTCCCACAATTTAATTTCAATTAATGACTAAGAGAAAAAATTTTTTTTTTCTTTTATTATCGCATATAAATACAAATTTCTGTGAAAGTGCGAAAGAAAATTTTTTTCTACTTCAAATTTAATATTTTTAAAAGTTGTTATATATAGTAATAATAATAATAATGATAATAATATTAATAATGACAATAATAATAATAATAAACAACCATTTTATCATTAGCCATTAATTATTCATTTTGATCATTTTCAACTACTATATTTTAGCGCAATATTAGCGCAACTGTTTTCTCAGCTTTTAAAATTTTAACCAATTAAAAGGATAAAACTGATTTCATTACTGTCAGTGATATGTTGGAGAACAATTTTGGAATAAATTTATTTCTCACTTAATGATCACTAATATTGCAAATATTTAACATAAACATAATAAAAAGTATATTTAGTAAATATGCTAAGAATAATAAAAAGCGTTTGATTAAAATTTAAATTATACAATTAATTTTTAAATTGCTGTAAATGCTACTAGTATTAAAATATATTTGATTTGATATTATGGTAGTAGTAGCATTTACTTTTTATTTACTATAATAGTTTTATCATTTATTTATTAACTAACCATATGAAATTAAGAGTATATTCATGTTTAGCTAACAAAATGACACATTAATTTATTTCTGTCACCAAAAAAAAAAAGAAGGAAAGATGCAATTCTTGAATAAAAAGATGAACTTTTAATATCAATGAATGAGAAAAATTTTTTATCAAATTTCAAAAGGCAAAAAAAGAAAACACAAAATTCCATAAAACAGCAACGATAATAAATAAAATATTTGTGATAATAAAGATTTCAATTTGTGCATTTAAAAAAAATTAAAAAAAAGTTAAGAAAATTTATTATTTTAAATATCTAATTTTGATTTTCACAAAATTTCAAATTTATATTTGCAAAAAAAAAAAAAAGAAAAAAGAAAAAAGAGAAAAAGAAATAGCAAAATATTAATAATAATGTAAGGAACAAAGTAAATATTTGTATTTTTGCAATTTTATCATTTAAAATTTTTGCAAAACAACAAAAAGAAAAAGAAAAAAAAAACAATAAAAGAGGAAAAGAAACTAATTAATTGGAGTTGGAGTGTATTAGAGGATGATGCTATATAATTTCAATTTAAATTAAATTAAGTTTAAAAAAAGGAAAAAGTTTTTTTTTTTTTTTTTAAGATGTGGTTGATTTTGAATGTGCCAACATTTTCAGATTTTCTTTTGGCTCTTCCGTATTTCCGATTAAATCTTCCAGTTTAGCAATTTTTCGTAATGCTTTTTTTAATGATTTCTTTAATGCATCATTTTGTTCCTCACAGGTAATTATTCGCCTTTCTAAGATAGCAACAATAATAAAATGTAAATCAACGGTATTTAATTCACCCAGCGATACCGCTTTCATCGGTTTTGTCTTTTCCGGATTGTCAATATTATTTATCAGACGTTGTAATTGTGAATTACCATTACGTGATATCTATAAAATGGATTATTTATACGTTTAAAAAAAATAATAATCATTGAAATAATTTCATTAATTTCATTCTTTTTAAATAAATAATAAATTCAATTATTAAATACAAAATCAAATTTGTATTTGTAAATCAAATGCAAATATTACTTTTAAATCATTTAGCTTGTGTTTTCTTTTTTTTTTTCCTTTTTTCATTTTCAAATATTTAAAAATTTATTATGGAAGTAAAAAGATCAATAAATATAAATATTTCAATTTGCATTTCAATTTCTCGAACTCAAATCCAAAAAAAAAAGGAAAAAAAGAACAAAGAGATATCATTTTTTTTAAACTTATTAAAAATTTAAATTAATTAAAAAATTTCACAATTTTTTTTTTTTTTGCATTTGTTGTTATTGCCGTTAAATTAATATTAAAAAAAAAAAAAATTAATAAATATTTTATTAGAGTGATTTAAATTTAATTTTTATTAATAAAATAATGAATTAAGTTGATTAACTAATTAACGAACTATTTAATAAACCTGTGATGATGATTTCTCCAGCATTGCTTTGATATTTTGCATATAATCAATTTCGGATCCGGAAGAAGTGGATGAGGTGAATGAACTATTTGGCACTAATATTGAATTCGGCATAATTTTCCACCTTTTTGTTGAGCCAATTTCTTCACAGATAAATTCGAAAAATTTTCGAAAAAAAAAAGAAAAATTTTTTTTTGTTTTTCAAAATAAGCAAATAAATAAAAAACAATAAAAATTAATTATTAATACAAAAAAAAAAAAAAAAAAAAAAAGGAAAGAATATGGAATAAATATTATATCCTTGAAAATAATATTCAAAAATTTATTATTAATTCTAATAATTAATAATGAAAGAAAAAAAAAACAGAAATAAAATATAAATGAAAATAATTTTAATAAAAAAAAAAAAATTAAAAAAGAGAGAGGGAGAGAGAGAGAGAGAGGGAGAGAGGGAGAGAGGGAAAAAAGCCAAAGAATGTTAAAACAAAACATTCAATTTTCACTTAAAATGCAAAAAGTACACAAAATAGAAGAGAAATGTGTTCAGTGAATTATCATTGGTTAAATAGCAAAATGATAAAGTAAACTGATGGAAAAAAACTTTTTCAAACAAAATAAACAGCTGAAAAATGGATGAAAAAAAAGAGAGAGAAAGAGAGAGAGAGAGAGAGAGGGAGAGAGAGAGAGAAAAAAAAGAGATAAATGTGATTTGTTAAAATATTTCTAACAAATGATTCAAATTCCTGCTTAAATACTAATAGGAATGAACAATTTGAAATAGAGAGAGAAAAAAAGGCAAAGATGATAATATGCAAACGAATTTTATTATTTAATTTATTTATGTATAAACTAATCAAAATGATTAATGTATTAGAATTAGTTAGATTAAAATGAATTGACTTTATGTATGATATATAAATGATAAATTAAATTGTAATAAATTAATATTTATAATTGGTTAAATTAAAATGATTATGAATTAGCTTAATTAGCTTAACTAAGCAATTAGCTTAACTGATTAATTTACATAATAATATTTCACAAAAAAAAAAAAAAAAAAAAAAAACATATTTGAAGCTTCTAAAATGATTGCTGAAATATTGTTAAATTAAAAAAAAAAAAAATTATATTTTTTGAAATATTTGAAAAAGAGAAAAATTAATTAAATTGAAGTAGAATTTATCTTTCTATGCAAAAATTTTTATAAAATATTTTAAGTAAATGAATAAATGTTAAAATAACGAATGTAAAAATAAGAAGCAAAGAGAGAGAGGGAGAGAGACAGAGACAGAGAATGAATTAGAAAGAAAGAGAGAGAGGGAGAGGGAGAGAGAGAGAGATGATAATGCTATCAACACATGACGGGAAATTTTATCACCTTATTGCATTGAATTGTGAATAATAATCATTAATATTACTCACAGTATATATATTACATTTGAATTAATGAAAAATAAAGAAGAAAACAAAAATGAAAAAAAAAAAATTTAAACTGAAAATTTAGAAAAGCAGAAAAATGTTGCAAATGATTGAATTTATTTTTAATTAATTCTTAGTTTTCAGAAAAATAAAAGAATTGAAAATGAGCAAAGTAACATCTTATCATTTATTTCATTTCATTAATTAATTGTATCATTTCATTGTTCCATCAATATTGCATAACCATTTAAATTTATCTGAAACTTTTTAAATAATCAATAGATCATTAAAAAATTTAAAAAAAAAAAAGAGAAATAACATAATTAATCATTTAATTGGAACTAAACAAAATCAAAATTTAAATTTAATATAGTTTTGAACATTAAAAAAAAAAAAAACATTTTTCGAAATTAAAAATAAGTAGGAAAATAAAAAAGAGGAAAGGACTTTTTTTTCCCTAATATTATATTTATAATATTTATATTATAAGTAAAATTATTTTCCAATATGATTAATTTCATTGCTCATTTCATGTTTAATTATTTTATCATTACAATAACTAATATGGAAATTAATAAATGAAATTAAACAATTCAATGTATTATTTATATAAAAAGTCACAAAATTTATAAAAGATCAATTAATAAGACGAGTTGTAAACTTTTTTTTCATTAATTAAATTTATTTAATTACATTTTCATTTTTTGTCTTACGTATAGAATGCCAGCAAACAGGAAGCAAAAAGAGCAAAACGAAATCGAAATTAATATTATTATCATCAATATTCTGAAATAATTTCAATAAAATTAAAACTTTTTAAAATAATTAAACAATCATTCATTGAAAAAAAAAACAATTAAATAAAAACGAAATGAATATAATAAATTATCTGATTAAAATCAAATAAAAAAAAAACAAAAATTTAAATTAAAATTTTGATTTAATGCGGGAAAAAAAAAAGAAAAACTTACATAAACCATAATTCGAATCTTATACAACATTCAAAGTATCCTTGATCACAACATATATATGAGAAAAAGAAATTATCAGGTGGACAGCTGAATTAGATTATTTACTCAAATTCATATATTCCAGTTTGTTAAATTTATCACAAATAATTTTCTCCATTTATCAATCATAACATTTTCTTATTTTTTCATAAAATTCAATTTATACCACTTTATTTCCTTTAAAAAAAAAAAAAAAAAAACTAAAAATATGAAACTCTTTTTTCTTTTTTTTTTTAATATTTTAGAAGATAAAAGGAAAAAATAATTAAACTGAAATACTTTTTCAAAATATTATTGTTAAATACATTTAATTGCAAAGTATAAAATGTAAAAGTTCAAAAGTGTAAATAATTGAAAGTATTACTTACATTTGAGCCAATGTACCATAGCCTAAGCCATAAAGTAAACTATAAAATTCGTTATTTGCATAACCATTAGGACAAATCATTGATGCAATACTTTTAGTAATTAATACTTTAATTAGTAGTAATATTGTTGTATAGTAATGCCAAAAGCATTGCATTCGGAAATTAATTCATTTATTTTTCAAAAATAAATTTACAACATTTTAATTATTTATCATCAGAGATCTAACAATTTTTCCATTAATCAATTTATGCTTTACTATTTTTCATAAAATTAAATTTGTATCATTTTTTTTTTAAAAGAGTTAAAGTGAAAGTTTAAAAATTAAAGTGAAATTAAGGTGAAAGGTACTAGTAAGAATTTTTCGTAATATTAAATATTCAATGATAATTTCCAATAATGCAGCTAATGATAATTGCTAATAAATTAAAAATTTTAGATAATACTTCAAAAATACCATTAAATCTCTTCCAATCCTTATTAATAACTTTTTTGCATCCGAAAATATCTATGCTTATCGTATAACTAGCTAACTAACTGATTAATAAAAATGGCTATTATAACTTGAAACATAATAGACAGTGAAATTGTCATCTTATTATTATTATTATTGACACAGTATAAAGTAAAATGTCGTGCTTTGTTGAGTAGGTAAATGAACATTACCTTTTATTCATTCATTCATATTCAAAAGTAAACAAAATTCTTCTATGAAATATATAGACAGAATAACATTTATTGATGGTAAACAATAAGTGAGAATAAATTCAGTGAATCTATTTAACAAATATAAGTTTTAAATATATGCTAACAGTAGTAGTAATATATCATCTTGAATTCCTCATTTCATTTCGAGTCTTTTTTTTTTGATCAGAATCATAACGATGATCTAATTATTTATCATTAATATTTATATTAATGATCTAATAAATAGTCTAATTCATTATAATTGATTTAATTCATCTAACTGCTTAAAATTGTTATTCTATCCGAAATTAAAGATGTTAACCGTTAAAAAACAGAGCAAAGTAATTATTACTATTACATCAGAAAATGAAAGCAGAAAAATTGAATATGCCTTCCGTGTTTCATGCTTCGTAAACGCATTCTTTCAAAAATTACTCTCATTAACTATTGAAAGAGAAGTTTTCATGAATGGGAAATCTTAAAGGGAGAATAAAAGGACCAAATTTTCGAAAAAATGTAACTATATTCATACTACAGGGTTTTTTTTTTTTCGTTTTAAAAAAAAAAAATTATTCCACAATTGTTTATTTGAATTTTTCAACATGATCTGAGATTTCTTTCCGGAGAAATTTTTTTTGTTATATATGCGCATTTAATGCCCTGTTTCCACTACACCTCAATGTCTTAATATACCAAAAGCATATTTTCAAATGACATTAAAATCGAATTAATCACACTGACAATATGGAAAGAAAGAATTTATGACAAATAGGAAATGCTGCAAGTAGATGAGCAAGAAATGTGAATGATGAAAGAATAAAGAACACAACACAACCTGAGATGTACAGTATTATTTCTGATACAATCCAAGTGTGATATCGCAGTAGACGCAATCGCATATGCAGCGAAGGCCCGAAGTAATGAAGTAGAAAAAGATGAAATCAATTATAAATTGGTAAAATAGAGAAGTGAAATGTGAAAAAAGGAATCAATGGCATAAAATTATTTCAAAAAGAAAAAAAAAAACGCAAATTACCATTTTGCTATTCTTCAGCAGATAAAACGTCCTTCCTTTGAACAAGAAAAAGAAGATTTTAGAGTTAATCAAGTAAAAAAAAAAAAAAGAATGACTTTAAAAAACACTCGGAATTCCAAATATATTCAATTTACTATGAAATAGTACATCTTTCATGATTAGAATTTGCTGGAATTTTCTGTCCTTGCAATCGTTGCCTGAAAACTTCCATGCAATCAAAATGATACTAGCTATTCAAATTTTCATGTTAAATATTCGACATTAAGGAAACATTCACCTAAATATTCAACATAGCATCTGAAATATTCAATATAGATCCAGTCTTTCCTTCAAACTAAGAACTTATTGATATTTTAACTTACATTTCTTCTGCAATAGCTCTGTCACGTTCTTCTAGAGTCATGCCTTCATCAGAATTATTTAATAGTTCTTGCAGTGCTCGTGCTAGTGCTTCATCATCCGACTAAAAGTATGATGTAATAGCTCCAACAATAGAATTGTTATATTTTTAATTTCACACATCATACTAGACGGATAAAGCAATATAAATTTTCATTTGAACAAAAAAAAAGAAAAAAACATACCACTGAATTAACTTGTAAGGAAGAATTGTTGCCTGATTCTTTCTTGGCTGATTCATTCCGGCAACATCTTTCATTACGACGCATAGCAGCTAATCTATAATCGATGTAGCGCACTAATAAATTAAAAAAAGCAAAAATAAATGTGTCCTTTGTTAAATTCATGAGTGCTTGATCAAAAAATCATTAGAATCAAATAAAAAAATTGTCAAGAGAAAATAAAAAGATGATTATGAAACATACGCTGCATTTGAGAGTGATTTTTTGCTTTTCACTTCTATACAATCATGATCCTCTGGAAATCGATGTTTCAGGCAAAAATTTCGTCCGCATTGATTACACTTAACAGAAACAAGCTGAAACGTGACTTAAGTTTACTTTACTCGATTGCTAACATTGCTTAGAAGTACTACGAAAACTTCTGAAAATCCGATTTTTTGCATTTCTCAAAACATCTAAATGTTTTATTTCTAGTTGCTGAATGATTTGTTGATTATTACAAGAATAAAACCCGACAACCGTATAATGCGAAGCAAAATGATCAACTACAGAAATAAAAAAAAAAAAAAAAAAGAAAGAAAATAACATCTGTCTTTACTTTACTTAGCATCTCAATACAAAAAAGACACAAATGTATTTAATTCTCAAACAAAAATTTTCCAGCTGAGAATAAGATACCACAAGACGGTGCTGTTAAAAAAACTGAAAAATACCTCTCTTTTCTTGCAATTTCGTTGTGAGCAATGATATGTATAAATTTTTCCTTTTAGTGCAATCGCGGGATTTGATTCACAATTCGAATCGATGTGATCGCTTACTTGTTTATCTGGTCGCTCTCCTCGTGCTACTGGAATTGGCTTATTACACAATGGACATACTGGTACTTGCACATCCTAAAAATTCGACAAAAAATTGATTGTTAATTGTGAAAAAATCTCTTCCTATGCATGAAATAAATACATAATGAAATTAGAAAAATTCATTACAATTTTTTTTTTTTTAAATCTAATTTCAATAACAATAAAGATGAAATAACACCTTTTCATATAAAGATTGACACCCGTGTGCATCATACGAATAGTGTGAAGCACAAAAATCTTTCTTACATGCATCACACCGAATGGGAAGAAAATCTGAAAATTATATATATATATATAAAATAAGAAATCATATAAAAACGACTAAAAATAACACATCACAAATGCAATCACTAAACGACATTTTACTAATTCAAACCAAAATTTCAGAACAAATCAAACTCATTCACATAGCACTCCTGGTTAAAAATGTCATTGTAGTGTTTTGCTTTCGAAAGTTTCAAACTAAACTATTCGATTATTACTACTTGATAAAGATAGCAATCTGCACAGTACTATAAATGCAATGAAGAAAACATTTAACATGCTATCAGACTAAGATACTTTTCCTTTAAGTTAATTTGATATAATTCATCAAATAATATGGTATTTATTAAACAATCATTCTGTATAAATCACAACAATAAAAATAAATAATGTGAAAATTAAAGAAAAGAGAAAAGTGAAGAGTTTACGTACAAGAAAGTGAAACTCAAACTGATGTACCTATTAAGAGTGTAATAAACCAATTTGTTACGTGATATGCTTATTAATAACGTCAAATGAAATGAAATGCTATTGGAGCAGTTGACTTCAAGTTCAAATATAACACTTGAAAATTTTGAATAATAATGAGGAAATTACCTAACAAATTACAGCTATCAAAATTACAATGACGGCCAAAACCAGGAAATTCTGTCATTTGATATTTTTATCTGAAAAGGAAAAAATGATTCATGTAAATAGCAATACGTAATCTTAAAATGATCTCACGTAAATGCGTTCCTGAAACATGTTTGTCACTAATGAGATAACTAAACGAATAATATCACAATGAGAAAAAAATTTTTTTTTCAAATTTCAACAAAAAAAAGATGATAACAATACATTCATATATAGTATTATCACTCTACTATCGCTCTAGAACCTTTCCAGAAAATTCTCGAAAGAAAAAAAAAAGAATCAAACGTGTCACACATCCAACGAGTCACCATCACAAATGATAAGTGACATCATTGAAAATTATGAAATTATTCGCACAGCGTATGCTCGAATTTTGTTGGGTAATATTTAAGGAAGGATACGGTATTTACCATAATGGATGATTCATTAACTGTTTTTTGTAATGCTTCAGAGGGCGAAGGTTAAAGGTCAAGAGGGTAATATTTGATGGTACGGTTAGAATGAATTTGAAAATGTGAAATTAATAATTTCAAAGAAAAGAAAATTTTTTTTTTCTTGCTTATTAACAGAAATTATAAGCAACAATGAAAAATTGCAAAGTTAAATTTTCATTAAACTTTTATACTTAACGTCTATTTCCGTTATATTCAAGCATATAAATATATACGTGCATACATAGACTTACGTGTATTTGTGTTAAAATTGGAAAAATAAATTTATCCGTAAAAAACTTTTATCCAACGTGTATCTCTGTCACATGCAACGTGTACCCTTATTACATGCAATCATAAATGTAAGTGTGCATGAACACACGTACGTCTTTTAATAAGCCGTACGTGTTTCCAACATCCTTTTGTAAGTGATATAAAAATTTCGAAAGAAAAATAAAATGCAAATTTAATAATTTCAAAAGATTTTTATTTATTAGCAGCGATTGTTTACATACGGTTATTGTTGTTGTTGTTGAATTTTCAGCGGTATCACTAAAGCATAATAATGTCAAAAATGACAGTAGTGCGAGACAATGGTCAATGATTTATTTACTTGTCTATATTGTTTCATCTTTTCTGAGATATTTAATATTTATAAACCTTAAAATTCTAATTCTTGTAAACTAATTAAAACTCTCTCTCTCTCTCTCTCTCTCCATAATCTTTCAACTTTATATTCCTAACAATTTATGCTATCTAATTAGATCAAATATGCTAAAATGGCTTTTAATTTACTCCAATCTATAATATAATATCAAAAAAACGATGCATTTAGGAATTTAAAAACTAATATAAACAGTTGCTATGAAATATTTTCCTCTATTCGCCATTAATTTTGTCATTAACTTTTGCCAATTAATTTCTTCTTCTAATCTATTTTTTTTTTCTTATTGCTTATGATTTGCTTTATTATTTTTTAATAAACAATAATTCCTCTAATAATGTGCTCTCACTCAAATTTAATAGCAGCTGTGCTTTTTGTTAATTCAATTTTATGGCGCTAAGTGACATCATCCAATATTTAATCTTTCATCAATCTTATAATAAGCATTTGTTTATCCTTATAATCTATTTGTATTGGAACGGATATATCTACATAGATATCCTCCTTTATTCATCATTTACTTAAATAAACATTTAGTTTGCTAATAGTGGTATAAAAGATAAATTTAATTAATGTAAAAAAAATTTGCATAGATCATGCAGTTAGTTATCATAGTTTATCTAATTAGTTTACCATAGTTTATTTAATATATATAACTTATCTAATTTCGACTAAAGTCAATTCAATTTCATTTAATTTCATTTTTTATCATCATATAAGGCAAGTATTTTTAATTATAGAAAGACAAGATAAGAAAGGAAATCATAAAATTGGAAATAATTCCGGAAATGATACTGATATCTTGGAAAATGATGAATCAAACTCGAAATCGGAATATTTTGCAGCAATTTCACCTACTACTATCACCAAACAACCTTATCCACAAATGAATTTTTCAAAAAATACTAAAATCTCAAATTCAATCAATAATCAAACTATTACTAATATTAAAAATGGTACAATTATCACATCAATATTTTAATATATTTTACTTATTCGTCAAATTATCTAATCTATTTTCGTATAACAGAGTTAATATATTTAGAGGAGGAAAAAAAACGAAAGAATATTGATAATAAATTATCAGTGGATCGTTTATCAATGAATGATTATAAAATGTTGTTAAGACTTAAACCACTCAAACAATTTTATATTCGACGGGTAAATATTTCCATTATGTTTTAAATTTCATACTGAATAAGAAAACGAAACCAAAAATTTTTTTTTTCGAAACTAAAAGAAAATTTTTTGATTACATTCAACATTTAAATGAAGTAAATACTTTAAAATGGACATAATTTTTGAAATACTTAAAAAAAAACAATGAATATTTTATAGTAAATAGAGATTAAATTATTAAATTGAGTTAAAGCTTAAATTATAGCACTCTAATACAATCGATACATTTCTTGATTTTCTTCAAGAGAATCGATATGTTGTTCAAGATATAGAAGGAGAACTGGTAATATTATCATTACTTCATTCATCAATTAACACTTCTATTTCTTAAAATTGTAAAAATGCAAAATTTTAAATTTAAAATTTTGTAATTTTTTTCGTATTAAATTACAAAAAATTTATTATGAAAAGAAATTGTAAATGATGTGAAGCATTGCAATTAATATGTAAATAATTCATGCCAAATCTTAAAATATTTTCGCTATTGGAACATTTTTTTTTTAAATATTAGAAATAATAAATATTATAAAGAAAAGTTTTTTCATTTCATTAGTGCTGTAATTTTAATTTTATTAATACAACAATATTGATTAATCTCTTGAAAGTGAATTTTTCGGTTTTTTTCAATTTTGTTTTTGATTAGTTACAATTTTTTTCTTGAGATAAAGGAAATAATTTTGCGTTTTTATTTCAATTTAATTTTATGCTATTAGTTGAAGTATCTTTTTTTTTTTTTTGTTTACAATAGTAAGACTGAAGCTAAAAATGCTAACGAAGCTACTGAAAAGACTGATATCAATTTTAGATTTATCATGTATTTGAAACATCAAACAATACATGTCAATGTGATTGCAAGACAACAAGATATTTACAATTACATTTTACCACTTCTGTGGGACAAGTAAAGCTTATTATTTACTCTAAAAAAAAACTTTAGATAATATTCAATCATCAATGTATTTCAAGAAAATGAGTTAATGTTTTAATCTCGAGTAGAGTTTTTCCTTTCCAAACTTATTGTTCATATTATTCTAATTTAAATATACATGATTTCGATTATTAACTTTCCAATAATTTCTCAATTTCATATGACAATTTAGAAAAATTTTATATAATGTGACATTTTCATAATATTCCTTAGCAGCAATTAAATAATGCAGGAAGTGATAAAGATGGAAAAATTGCTAACATGTTCAAATTTTTTTGGTGGACAATGTGGTATCTATCCAACATGTTGCATATTTTCAACCAATAAATCATTTCAGATAACAATTGAATCACCACCAGGGCATCCTATTGGTGAAATGAAATTTTAAATTGCATACATTGAAATTAAACATATAAGATAATTTTGAATACATAATGATTTTTTCAACCAAGAAAACCAGCTAAATTATCAATTAACAATACTTGTTACTATGTCATTATTTGTTGAATAAAATCTAAAATTACTGTAGTTAATTAACTTTATTATGAATTGGGTACATGACTGACGATTATTGGAGAAGTTATAGGCGCAGTTGTCCAGCAAATTAGTCTTATCAGACCATATTATCAAGTGAAGGATGCAAGAGGGAATCCGAAATATTTCATTATTGGTTCAACTAGTAGCTTTAGTTGTTTTGCTTGTCGTTGCTGTGACATACAGTATGAAGTATATTTTTTTCATTCTTTTCATTACTGATAACAGAACTGACTATTGATTATTGATATAGTATGATATGATATAATATATTTGGTAATCTAGGGAATAGTTTTATAGGAAGAAATACTAATGAAAGATTTAATAAACAAGGAATTTAATTTGATTTGCAGTTTAACTGTAAGTAAAATTATAACAAAAAAATGATAAAAAGTAAATATTGTTTTTGATATTGTATTGTAAATTTTACGATTATTATGCTAATATTAGGTGATATCAGCAAATAAAAACATTCTTATTGGTATTATCACAAAGGAATGGGCGAAAACAAGTGATAAAATTACAACTGTTGACAATTTCAATATTTCATGTTAGCTGAGTTCAATTATTTCTCTTAATTTATTTGAAGTTCTTGACGAAAAGCACAAAAATGAGCTACCTGTGTATGACGAATTCTGCATATATTGCATATCAAAATTATAATATGAAAAAAAAAAAAAAAAAATTTCAGTCCCACGAAATATCACTGCAAGAGATAAAATGCTTCTCCTCGGAGCGCTTTTTCTTGTCTCAAATTTTAAGTGTAAGTTTCATAGTTTCATTTTTATTGCATCAAAATAATTGAATTACTCCAATTGGTTAATTCTAAGCCGTGCTTTTTTTAAGAAATTTTTTAGGCCAAAATTTCGATGTTTAATTACATAATAAAGTTACTAAATATGAAGATCAAAAGGAATAAAAATAAAAAAGTGATAAATATAAATAAGCAAATTATCAATAAATAAAATCAACTAAATATAATAATCTTTGATCCATTCACTAACCTATTCATTTATTATTATAATCACAGTATATAATTCCAGAAACTAATTCACCTGAACCATTCTATTACTTGATGGATTAGTGAACAATTTGAAAAATTCATCACGCATCTTTCTTTTCTTCACTTTGCTTTGTTAACTTTTAATTTTTTTCTCTTAATTAATAATTATACTATGACAATGGAATTGAATGTTTCAGAAGATATAATATGAACTGTATATAATTTATAATCATAATTTTTATGTGAATAAATCCAGCAATTATTTATCACATTTTATGAATAATTTATTCAGCTTCTTTCCCTTTTTTCTTGTATATTTTCTAACAAATTCTTAACACAACAATTCCTCCAACATTCATATTTCATTTTTCATTTTCATGTTATCTTTTCAATCTTTCATTATTTCAATATATGTATTCATGCAATAACAAAAATTTTTATATTTTCTTAACAAAAAAAGAAAAAAAAATGGAAAAAAGAGCAAAAAAAAAAAGAAATCACTTTCTTTGTATTATAACTTAAATGGTGGATCTTCTTGATAATCCATTTCCAAAGAAATACTCTGTGTATTATAATGATGTTTTTTCTTCGAAATGCCACCCAGTCTTTGATTCACTTTATCACTGCAAAAATGAAAGGTTAAATTTTAAGCAAAAAAAAAAAGAATCTCAATATTATTATAAGTATTTAAACCAAACCTGCTCTGACTCATGACATCATCTTTTCTATCATTATCAACGCTATCACCCTCATCACTATCAACAACTAGCTCCAGATCGTCATCATCTTCACCCGTGCTTTGAATAGCATGAGAATTAACCGTTGATCGTGCCACTCTCAAAACAAAAAATATAATAAAACAAGAAATATACAATTAAAAAAATAGATAATATGAAAATAAACAAGTATCATTCTTATCATTTAGGTAGGGAAGTACTAAATTACAAAAACTAATTTAAAAAATAATTGCTGAAATCAATACTGCTCCATGCAATGGTGTCATTTTATTTCAAATGAAAATGGGATGCAAACGTTCACAATGACCAAATCATCGTAACATCACCTAATAAACCATTGAATTCACTGCAATCAATGTTACTGAACAAATTTAGCTAAGGCCGTGTCGCGGATTATTGATTCGCCAATCAGGCCATGTTTTGGATTGTTAGTCCGTCGACTCGTTACGCTACTCCAAGTGCGGTTGGAGTGAAAAACGTAATCTCGCCGTCATTTTTAATATTTTAAAAAAATTGGAAGGGAAATGCAATTTTTAGCATATTTGAAGGAAAATATTGAATGAAAAATTACTTTGATGGCTTCATATCAGCAGGTAGAGAGTAAACATCAATCAAAGCGTTAAGATTTCTTTCCAAACCACGCGAAATAAACGGCCATGAAGTTGGTGCATTCCTCACAAAACGTGGCTTAATTACAGCATCTCTCGTTTTTGCATATGGTAATACCTAACAATGTGTACCATTTATATACATACATATATTTTTTTCATTTTTTATTACCTATTATTTACGTTGCAAATGGTACTTAAATAAAGTGTAGAAAGAAGTACATAATAAAAGAGATGAATGACTGATGACCTAAATATACCTTCTTAAGTCTGCTTGCAAATTTCACTGCTGGCATCGGAACGGGTAAACCTCTGGAAATTTTGATATAAGTGAAATGTAATTAAAAATATAGATGATGCTTTTTGTTTTCTCTTTTTTTTTTCTCCTTTTTTTCTCAAGAAGAAAAATTAGTGACAACATATAGCAACAAAACATTACTCTTCCCATTTTTTCATTTTCTTCTTTCATTAAAATTTTAAAGTTTCTTTCTTTTTTAATTAGATGATTCTTCTCTGAAAACTTCTATTTTGTCTTATCATGAAATTAATATGTGTTTGATAAAAGAGAACTAAGTGTGTAAAAAAGAATTGATAGGAATGAACGAAATATTAGTCACACACATATCTATTAATATAATTAAATTACTTAAAGTTTAACTTTTTTCCTTTAAAAATTTTATAGTAAGCAATTATTAGTCCTTCATTCAGCAAAACATTTATTTCAGCACAATTACTATAAGTGATATTGGCAAAAGCTATCTAAACAATGAATTAGCACAAATTATATTTGTATACATTATAAAAATAAGTTTTATGATAATATATACTTATATCGATATACATGAAAACAAAAAATATGATTTTATAGTAATAGTGATTACTATTATTATTATTGTTATTATTGTTCATTACTATTATTATTATTATTATCGTTATTAGTATTACAATTATAATAATTATATTAGTAGACACAAACATGAATACATATGAAAATATATATAATAAATAATAAGTTAATAAATATTATAATCAATGACAAGTTTCACGTGTACCTGGTTAGTTAACATTAAAAATTTTATAAAATTTTGGTAAATCAAAAATTGACAATGCTTTTCAAAAAATAAAAATGAAAAGAAAGAAATTATTAAATGCAAAAGATTAAGGAATTTATTAGTCATAAACAATTAATTAATATTAATAAACAAAGAAATTGATTAAAGAAACCTGCGTTCTTTTCGATCAACCTCGTATGGTTCATCTGTTTCATCATCATCGCTGGTACCATTTAGTAACCGTTCCGGCATCGGAATACTCATCGATTCCGTTACACCGCTTAGTAATCGACGTTCCGCCATTAAACTCCGTTTCTTACTTCGAGCTGCAAATCACTATGAGTGATTATGTATGAAAAGTTGCAAAATATAAATTTTCGAATTTATAATATGGTGTGAAAATACTTACTTTCATGAATAAATGAAATAAATAAATGAATAAATAAAGAGATAAATAAATAAATAAATAAACAAGGAAAGAAAGAAAAGCAAATTCATACATGATAAAATTCATTTTTTTTTTTTTTTAATATTTTATTTTGGAGATATTGATTGGATGTTCGTTGGTTTTTGTTATAAAATAGCAAATAGATATTATAAACTGACAAGAAATAAGCAAATTTAAATTTTTTCAAAGAAAATTTTAAAAGACAAAACAAAACGAAAAGATAATATTCTTTGTAAACAAACAAATTGTTTCTTGTCTGAGATCAGCATGACCAGTATCGAAACCAGCATTTCGAAGTATACCAAGTAGCTCATATCGAAAAGCACTAATATCCTAAAATCATTACAGTTGTATTGTATCTAAGAAAAAATTGAACTTATTTCATTATAATATTTTAACCATTTTTTTTTTTTTTATATTAATTTATGCCACTATTTTTTTTTTTCATATTAAAATTAAATTAATAAGGGAAATAATAAAACTAATAAAGCAATTAGATTTGATAATTGATCCAACTCTTACTACATGTTTTATAAATTTTGATAATAATCTTTTTATTTAATCCAAATAAATTGAAAATTCTTAATGTATACAATTGCTTAGAAAAAAATTAAAACATTTGAATCAAATATTAAATAAACAGTTGAAATACTCAAACTAAATTCAAAATAAATAATCCAAAATAAAAGTACCTGTTTAATTTCTGCTATATCATCTTCAGTAATACCTTCAGTTTGTTGTTTACTACGTTGCAAATGAGAAATGTATCGTTTTACCAAATTTCGCATTACAAACTAAAATTTCAGTAAAAAAAAAAAAAAAAAAAAAAACTTTGAATAAGAATTTAAGACTTTTTAAGAGTAATTTAATATCAATTATTAATTGTTTCATATTTTTATTTCATTATGATATCTGTGCTAGCATTATATAATCATTTAATAACTTACTCGATAATTGTTTTCTCGTTTATTGATTGTTTTGAGAATTTTTTGATTCTGAAAAATAATTCTTACTTTATAAATTAACAAATGAATTATCAAGCACTAATATCATGCAATATTTATTGTTAAAGAAGCATTTATTTAAAAAATTTGAAATTATCAGAATTTTAATTAAACCGAAATTTTTGCTGTTTAAAACACTAATGTTAACGTTTTTTTTTTTTATAGTTCAATAATTATAACATTTTATTTATAATTCAAGATAAATCGTATTCTCATTTTTTTTTTTTTTTTGCATTCAAAAAGAAAATGGAAAAATAAAATAAATTAAAAGACAAAAAGGAAGAGAGAAATATTTCCGTCAACTAACCCGTGTACTACGAAAATTAAAACCAATAGTTCGATTCGATTGATAAATACTTTCTAAACACCACTGAACACAATAAAATAAACTTTTTGGACTTGGAATCATATTGAATGGTGGTGGAAGTGTTGCTGTATCATCAAAATATTCAATCCAAAGTTTACTTCGAGCAAATTTCCATTCAACATCTGCTTGATTCTAAAGAAAACAAAAAACAAAAACAAAAACAAAACAATCTACATGAAAGATAAAAGAAATCTTTGATGAAATTTAACTTTTTCAACATGAAAAAAAGGATATATCAAAAAAAAAAAAAAAAAGAATTTAAATAATTATAAACAGAAAAAAAAAAGGAGAATTAATAAGGCAAATAATGATTACTTCAATAAAAACGTAAAAATTTTGTAGTCAATTTCTTTACATTAAAGAAAGGAACAAATAAAGAATTTATTTGTTTACAAAGATATCCTGATATGAATTGCTCATCATAGCGATAAGCATATTGAGGAGAACAATCACTGAACAACAACAATAACAGCCAAGGATAGTTCGACCTGTCCACTTGGTAGGTCCGTGTGACTCGACGATATCCAACTGTTCCAGAATGATTATTCCAAATGATGACCAGAACAAGGTTTCCATCGAATTGTATAAGCTAAATGTAATTATAATAAGTATTATATTAGCAATGTTATAATAATATTACTGCTATTATAGTAATTATTATTAAATATTAATAATTATTAAAATAATAATATTAGTAAATATTGTTACAACATTATTAATGTATTACTATTATAATATATTATCATATAGTAATGTACTAATAATAACTAATAATATTGGAACAATAATAATGTTGTCATTACTATTTATTATTATTATCATTATTGTCATTATTTATTATTGTTATTTACTATTGATTTATCTACTATTATTGCTATATTTGTTCATTTATTATTATTATTATTATTATTATTATTATTATTATTATTATTATTATTATTACCATTATCACTACTATTGTTATTAAATTATTAATTATTTCCATTAAATTATGAACATGAATTTCATTCATATTTCAATTTCACTTTCTTTCGTTTTCCCATTGTTCGTTGTTAATTACTCTTAGAGATTATAAAATTATCTTATAATTAATTATTTTGTGGAGTATATTTTATTATTATTATTATTTTAGTATTATTAATATTATGTATAATATTATATATTATTATCTTAATATTAAATCATTTAGCTTTAAAGTATTATAAATGAGAGAATTCACTTCATTATTTTTCATATTTTTGTTTCGTTTTTTTTTTTTTTTCTTTCAATGTTTAATATATAAAACAAAACGAATAGAAAAGGAAAAGATTTCATTATAGATATTTTTACAAATGAATAAAATTAATTGAAATGGGAATTGTTTTAATTACTAAACCTTTCGCAAGAGCGATATTTTGGATCACATGATTCCTCCATTCGAATTAGTTCTTTTATTGGAATATTCTGCGTTGAGCTATTAATCATTGATTGATACTTTTCACATTCCTTTAAAAAAAAAAAAAAAAAATGAAATTATTTTTTACCATCTATCAAATATTGTCAAAAATTTGGTAATAATAATAGTATTCAAAATTTTTGCAAAATTTGTAAATGCACAAAAAATATTTAAATTTTACAAAGTTTGAAGATTTTTGTTTATAAAAGTGTAAATTTTACATGTGAAATGTTTTTAAATAATGGAAAAATTTTAGAAAATTAGAAGTTTTATATATGTTATTTGTTTTGATTAAAAGTATACAAATTTAAACATAATTTATTGAAAAATTAATTAATCTGAACTAAAAATTGACTAGTAGAACTTTACAAATATATAAATCCTTGACGCTCTCTTTAACTCATCGAACAGCTAACATTGTGATATGATATGATATGATATGATCTATGATTGTTTATAATGATTGAAGTGAAAATACCTGCTGACGCATTGCTGCATAGTACCACAACAATTGATTTAAGCCACATGCAAACGAAAATAAAACAAGAAAATAAATGAGAAGAAATTTGACAATGTCCAAAACCATACGACCTGAAATTTATCAAAAAATATAAATTTTACAAATTTAAAAAAAAAAAAATTAAAAGCCATAATTTTTATTTTGTTTGTAAATTTTTTTTTTCCTTTTTTCTTTTTTTTTATTACAATAAATGATCAATTATAATATCTGAATTTATCAACTGTCAAAAAAAAAAAAGCCTAGCAATAACCAAGTGATATCCTAAGTGGCCCAAGATGTGGATTAACAGTAAAGATATGAATCATTTTTAAAGATGAGAAAATGTTAGCCGTTGCAAAAGCGCATTCTGAGATAAGCGTTGGTTCCCATTCATCCCAATCGCGTCGTAAAATGCGACGTCCCAAATGTCGCATTTGTGGATTGCGAATTTCAGCTTCAACCTAAAAAAAAAAACTTTTTTTTTTTTTTTGAAACTTTTTAAATTCTTCTTACATTCTTTTTTTTTTAATTGCTATAAGAAATAAATTAAAAGAAAATTAAAATGCAATAAATTTTATGATAAAATTTAAAAAAAAAAAAAAATAATTTAAAACCTGCAAATAAGCAACAATTCGAAGTGCAACGGTACATAAATACAATGCATTAGTTATGAAGTCAAGAATATTCCACAAATCTGAACAATAATCACAAAGGCCTTCATTCCATAATTGCTTAATTTCAACCCATACCAAACCTAAAAAATAATTTTTGTGCGTAAATTTTTATTTTCAATAAATTATTGCTAATTATTTTTTATTTTTTTATCATTGAAAACATGCACAAAATTAATGATAATTATTCAATTTATTTAAATAACAAAAAATTAATTTGTTACTAAGTTATTACTCATATCAAATAGATAAAATTGATTGAGCTATAAATTAAAAAAAAAAAAGCGAAAATGAAAATTAATTATAACTAACCAAAAACCCATGTTAGAATAGCTAATTCAACGAGTGTTGGTGGTGGTCCACGTACTTCTTTACGATCTATATCATCATCATAATCATTTTTATGGATGGTTGATACTGATTTTGTACCAAAAATTAAATCATAATTGATTCGTTGATTAGCAAGAATAAGTAAAACTAAAAATATTTAATTTATTAAATGGCAATTAATTAATTTCTTTGCTATATTATATTAACAAATTTTAAAAATTTAACAACAATTTTTTTTTTTTTTGAAAGTTTATTTCAATTTTTTTCTTATATTAACAAATAATTTTCCTTTTTCCTTTTTCCTTTTTTTTTTTGGTAAATATTTTGAGTTTGAAGAAAAAAAAAGGAAAAGTATAGCTAACAAAGAAAAAAACAATATGAAGCTGAATGGCATAAAAATTTGATAAACGGTCGTCGGGCAAATTCACCAAACGATGATTTGGGCGCAATAAGATAAATTATAGCTAATAATGGCGAAGCTATTGATACACCCAAAATGATTAACATCTGAAATTTTTTTTTTTTTTTTAAACTAATAGAAAATTTCAACCTTTAAAAGTTAGACTTTACTTTAAAAAAAAAAAAAAAAATATATTTTCCTAGTAAAATAGAAAAAAAAAGTGAATCTTCTTTTCAAATGTCAGCAAATTTTCTTTCTAATTCATTTATTAATAAGATACAATTATTAATTTAATTATTTATTTACAATCATTATTAATTCAATTATACAATTATTAATTTCAATTATTAATTCAATTATTAAAAATCTCTTTTTCGTTAATTATTCCATAATGCTTAATGAATTTCTATTTAATAAGCATAGTTAAGTTCAAATTAATGATATAAAGAGTATAATGTAGAAATATGACAGAATGAGAATGAAATGTCGCAATCAAATAACAAACATTTGAAAAATTTTGAATTTTTTCGATTATGTATGTTTTGTTTATAATTTTAAAGAAAAATTGTGAGATATTTTAGAGATTTGAAAATATTTTCATATTACTAAGCGATCATTCCAAGTGCAATCAACAAATGACAACTTTTGTGATAATTCGACGATCACGAAAACCGGGAAGTCCATCATAAAATATTGCTGATAATAATTGTTGACAATTTGGATGTGCAACGAACTGAAATATCACCACTAATAGTTATCAGATATTATCAATAATTTAATCAAAAACATTATCATCAGTTATTTCAATAAACATAATTAATTGAAAGAATTCATCAATGCAACTAATTAATAAATATTAATGTTAGAATTAATTTCATTGTTTAAATTCAGTTTTTTTTTTGAATAATCAAAAATTGGAATAATGATTAGAATTAGCATTTGCATATGAAATGATTGCTTATTTCAGTTATTATCATTTTTTTTCCTCAACTTTCAATCTTTCTTTTTCTTTTGAATTACTTCCAATTCAAAATTTTTGATAAATAACTTACAATTTTTTGTCTAAGTTTAATAGCAAGCTTTAGCCTTGCTAAATTCTGATAAAAATTAGCACTCTTTCTTTCGGTTACTTCTTCCCATGCATTTGTCGTATGATTGAGGACAATTTCTAATTCCTTAGATCCACGTACTTGTTCTAACATATTTACACTAAATGATTGACATTTTCGACTTAGTTCCTGTAAATATCTCAGATATCATTTGAACAACTAAAAATAGCGATTGTTATCATTTGTCTGATTTGATAACCTTTCATTATTAAAATAAATTTTTTCATTTAATATTAGCAATATTCAAATATTGATCATTCAAACCATTTGTTGAACATTTTATAGTTAAAGTATTTAAAAACACATATGACTAATTTATAAAAACAAACTCAAACAATATGAATAATTTATAAATTTTTTTCCGCCTCTTTTCAAAAAAAAAAAACAAACTTAATTATTGGCAGAAATAAATCAAACGTTTTAATTAATTTAATATTTCAAAAAAAAAAAAAATGGAAAGAAAAAGTGCAAAATGTTCACCAAAAAAAATTTTTTAAAACTAAACGAAATACTTGAATTTGTAAAAGTTGTATTGTCAAGCAAAATTAGTAAATATTTTTTCTATGAATTCACAATTTTCATTCCCAATTTTTTTTTTTTTTTTTTTGAATGTTTCAATTTTTTGAACAAATTTCATCTTTAATTAAACTTTAGAAATTATAGCATTACATTAGTTTAATTTAGCTTTTGATCAATTAAGAAATAAGAAGAAAAAAAAAAACTTTTTTAAAACTATTTCGTTGAATAAACTCACTTGATACTCATTTCGAAATTCATTTTCAACATTTGATAATCGTCGAAGCTCATAGCTAAGCTCAAATGCATACAATATTGGATCTTTTGATGATAAGCAAATAAGTGATGGACTTGTTAACGCTTGATACGTGTTAATACGTGATCGTGAGAAACATAATGAATCTTCTGCTTTAGCCTGTAAATATTAAAATTAAAATTTAAAAAAAAAAAAACTCATTCTGTTAAAATTAACTTCTTTCAAAATAATTTTCTTAAAAAACTTATCAAATATTTTTGGGAAATTCAAAATTTATAAATTGATTGCATTAATTGTAAGAAAATATTTTCAAAAAAGCTTTTTTCATTTTAAAACACATTTTACTATTTTATAAAAAAAAAAAAAAAAAAAAACAATAAATAGAAAAGTTTTGTTTACTTGCACACATTCTTTGCATAAACATCGTATATCATGTGGATGAAGTATGGTAGCTTTCTTATCGAGTAGTAATTTTATACATTCATAATTATTCTTATGTGCAGCAAGAATAATTGGTGTCATATCAGATGTAAATACTGAATGTGCAGTAATTTCAACACCTTGAGTCTAAAATAATTGATAAAATTAAAGTATAACTTGAAGTTCTTTTTTTTTTTTTCTTTTTCTGAAATAAACAAAAATTTGAATTTCATTTTACTACAAATAATAATAATGGAGCATCAAATAAAACTTTTATTTAATTAAGCAATTAAATTAAATGAAATTTGCTAAATTAAATGAAAGCATTAATTAGCTTACAGTGCAATAAATGCAATAAATTTAAGCTAACAAATTTATTAGCTACTAACTTCAGGCGTGAATTTTCCAATTTTTTCTAAATGCTCCAAGAGTATTTCAACTGCTTCAATATTTTCATTTATGATAGCATGTAGGATAGTATCGCCAGTATTAATATTATAATCTAATAGCAATTCGATCAATTCAATATTGCCATTTTCGATAGCTATATGAAGTGCTGATCTATAAATAATCAAATTATGAAAATAAAATTCAAATTCATAGCAAAAAATTTAAATCATTGTTTTAATTTTCAGACAAAATAAATTTCACTATAAATTAATTTAATTTTGGTAAAAAAATTCTTATTGACTTGTCGTTTTCTTTTTTTTTTCCTAGAATTATTTGTCATTCTTTGCAAAATATTTACTACAATCATATCAAAAAAAAAAAAAAAAATTAAATTACAATTATTTTACAAAATAATTTTACTACTAAAGGAGTATATTTAATAAATTTAATTCCGGTAAAAAAAAAACGAAATTTCTTATTGATTTGCTTTTTGTTTTTTTTTTTTTTTTTTTCAAGAAATTTTTTTAAAGCAACCTTCTTAGCGGATCTAAACAATTAATATTAAATGCTCTGGTGGATTTATAAATTTCTAGTAACTTCCGAACACTTTCAAGATCACCTCGTTCAGCTGACAATAGAAATTGTTTCTCATATAAACCAGCATCTTGTGCTAAAATATCATACAATTTTATTTTCAAACTGAAATTTAATGAGAAAGTGAAGAAATTAAATTAGAAATTGAAAACCAAAACAAAATTTTAACCAAATTTAAAAGTTTATGAAACTAAAGATATCAATTAAAGCATAGAAAATTATCAACTAATGATAACAGTAGCATAAAGTACTGATTTATACAATATCAATTAAATGTTTGAATGTTTGTCACAAATAATAGTATCATAGTGTAACAAACTTATGATACTTTAGTTTTAACACATTTGACGTAACGGAAAGCAACAGATTATTTTTTTTTTCTTTCATTTTGTAAACAAATAAATAAAATTATCTTTACGAAAAAAAAAAGAAGAGAATGATAAAAATATGACAAAAATTATTTCTATTAAAAAAAAAAAAAAGAAAGAAAATGATAAAACTTACTGAATTTCCTCATTGTTTGATAATACCTTTTTTTGAATAGCAAAATATTATTTCAATATCACATATTGGCTTGAATTTAATAAAATAAATTTGTCAATTGTCAAGAAATGAAAATTTGAAAAAATTCTCGAATAAACAATATGAAAATATATAATTTCAATACATCAGGCATACATTTAATTTGAAACGATGATATTGTTATCGTTTAAAGCAAAAATCATCACTCTAAACTAATCGATTTTTTCTTTTGAGCTTACTTTTATCCATTCACTATTTTCACATAACACAAATTTTTGTCCATTGTAATGTTTCGAATTCTTTTTTTTTTTTTTGAAAAAAGAAGAGAAAAAAAACGAAAATAGTCATAAAAATTGGAAAAAATTTTTCGAGATATTTATTTAAACTAAAGTAAGCGAATAATAACAGCAAATGAAGTAACAAATAATACATTTATTGCTTTTTCCAACTTTTTTTGCAATGATGAGCGATGATAAAATAAATGATTTCAACAAATACAACAGTTGTTCCTCATCCATGCATCATCATTTATTGTATGACTTTGAATTTGACAAATAATTTTATACTATGCCTTCGATTCAATTCATTCTTTAATTTTCTCCTTATTAAATACAATTCCTTAAATGTCATCATTATGAATATCGTAATACTATGTTTATAAATGTAATCTCTTAAATGTTTTACCGTTTAAATATTGTTTATAAGTACTACTTATAAATAAAGTATATATTAACAGATTCCTAAACGCTTTATTTTTTGAATATTATCCTTACAGACCCACAAATGCAACATTTATGAATATTGAAATTGCTATGTTTATAAAGTACTGTATTTTGCTAGTACTGTATTTACAGTAAGCGTATTTATAACACAGTTTTTAAATGCTTGTGGATACTGTCCTTAGCTACTGTATTTCTAATACAGACTTTTAAATGTTATATTTATGAATACGGCCTTCAAATACTGCATTTCTAATTATTTAATGACTATTTGTTAATAATTTTGATCGAAAATGTTTCTATTCAAAACTTTGATCAGAATTTAGAACTGTGACATATTAATTACAATTTGCATAAATGATTTTTTTTTTTCAAAAGAATAACTTAAATGTTATTTTTTGAATATTGTCTTTAAATACTCTATTTATGTCCAATCTTTTAACTATTATGTATTTATTACTATTTCTGAAATACTACTTTAAATGTTACGACTATGAATACCAACCCTGAATATTCTATTTATAACTACAGTCACTTAAACATCATACTTATTAATGCTGTCCTTAAGTACCGTAGTTATAAATATCGTATCTCAAATAGTACGGTTGTATATTTAATTCAGATAAAAATCCTTTTATGAAATGCTAGTTAGCTTCTCTTTTTCATATTATCCATTTTATAACTTGTATAATCACAATTTTATGAAACAAAGTATTAGCTTGTCTACTTCAAACTCCGTGAAATAAATTAATGTTGTATGCTTGACAATGATAAGCTAATAGATAATTTAAAAATTAACAAATAATTTCAATATTGATTTGATAATTACCACTCACTTGTTTTACTTAGCATAACAATATATATAAGACTAAGACTAAAATATATCTCAGTAAAGAAAAGAGTTTACAAATATTTATTAAATACATTATTAGGTATGTTCCTTTCTAAATAGTATACTTAGCTAATGAAATTTGCATTTTTTCCTATCTACTTTTATTTTATTCGAATACAATCAAGTTTGTAACAAGTAATATGAATTTAGAGTAATCCTTTGACAGATTCAAAAATATGTAGTTTATCAGATTAGCAAGAAATGAATTGCTAATAAAGCAGTTAGAACTATCTTATTTGCATATTAATAGAAATGTTTTTAAAATGTCGTCTTTTAACTAGGACTTACTTAATTGTTGATTTATTAGAAGATTAATTAATTAATTTTATAAAGAAAAATTGCTGCTATCAATGTATTCATTTGATGTACAATCATATATACAATTATATGTAATTATTTTCCGATTTATTAATGTAATTTTATTTATGTAAGATTTATTTATGTAAAATTTTTATCGAAGACAGAGAAAGAAAAAGAGAAAAAAAAACAATTTTTAGAAAAAATCATTTTTTGCTAATAAAAATTTTTTAATATCATTTGCAATTAAACCCCATTTATTTTAATTCAAACAACATGTGATTGATTCAGATGCATTCAATATTTTTGAAATTTCAATCTACACTTTAACGAAATTTGTTAGTTTCAAGGCGATTCCAGAAATTAATCTATGAAAGTTTTGCAATTAGTGAAAGTAACTTTTGAATGAAAAGTATCAAATATTCAATAAAAATTTTAACAAACAGTATAAATCATTTGAACTTAACAAAAATGAAAAGGAAAAAAAAAAACGAAAATATTACTTAGGAATTAATTATTTACGGACAAAGTTGATTTGCATTGCAAAAAATAAAAGAAAACGATATTAAATCAATTTTTATTATTCTATTTTTTTTAATTTCATAGTTTCTTTCTAAAATCAGTTCTGTTCATTCTTTTTCATTTTATTTCATCATTAATGAAGAAATTGCATAAAAATAAAAAAAAAAAAAAACAAATGTTTAAAAAATTTAAAGCAAATAAATTTTATAGAACACAGAATACATTTTACAACTTAAAAATTTAAAAATAGTGCCTATTCTTTTAGAAATAAAAAGCGTTTGTTGAAGAATAACCAATAGTTATTTAAAAATAATAACTGATTTAAAAATGAAATTTGTCAATTAAATAAAGAAATATTATAATCTCTTAGGTTATAAAGAAAGAAAAAGTGCAATGAAATTGTAGTTAAATTCATCTAAGTTAATTTATAACTGGTTTACCTTTTAAGGAGCATAATTTTAGGAGTAAAATTCGAATAATGACCTCAGAATTATAGTTCAGGTAACAATTTTAGGATTAAAATTTATGTAATAATATTGAATCAAGAATTTTAATTCTAATATATCTTAATTTTAAAGAGTTAAAATTCAAGTAATAGACTTTAAAAATAGAATTTGACTAATAATTTTAGAATTGGAATTTAAGTAATGAATTTTTAAATTAAAGGTGATTGAAATGACTTTTGAATGTTGAGAATGTGATGGAATGAATTGAAACAAATGATAATTCGTCAAGTGTAGTGGGAGTATGTCCATCTTCTAAAACATATGCTTCAAATTCACTAAGCAACAATCAATCAATCATATTTATTAACTTATATTTCTAATTAATTATCAATTATCATTTAACTAATCATTCATCATTTGCTAATACTAATAACATAAAAAAGAGCGATGTATTTTTTTTTTTTTTGATAAATAAAACAGCTTAGTTAATTTAGTAAACAAGTTAAAAATAAATTAATTCAATAGTTTGCAAATTTTTCCCGCAAATTTTTAAAATCAATTTTTGTCATAGTAAATTTCAAATATAAATGGTTCAATTTTAGGCATTTGCTATAAATTTTCAAAATGCTGAAAAAACTTTTGAATAACTTTTGAGTGATACAAAATATGAAGAAAAAGAAAGAGGAAATTTTTTATTATAAAGGTTCAATAACAAATAGCAATAATTCATTTCTCTTACATCATATTGTTTATTAGCATTTGATGAGTTAGTAATAAATAAATTAAGTAAACGAGTTAAAAATTATTAATCACTAACATGAATTGCTTATTTCGTTGATTTATATTACTTTTAATTCAATTAATTGTTGAGATTTTCATTGCAATTATTGATTGAAAAAGAAAAAAAAAATGTGACGAGCTAGAAGTTATTTAATATTTGTTTATAATTTATTTGAAAATATTGATTTTTTAAGAAAGCATTTTAAAAATATTAAATGGAATAATTAAATGTTTAACATTTAGCTCCAATTTTATTTTTATCAATCCAAAAATTATCATTTAGATATTTTGAAAATCTGAAAAATTGTCCATAAATTATTTTTTGATTTAAAATAATAATGATGCCAAGCGACGAAAACTGCTTTATTTTTTGCAAGCATAATTTGCAATATTTTTGGAAATTTTATCAATTTCGAAACATTAAGCTACTAAATAACAATAATTTGAAAATTTTTATTCACAAAAAATTTTCTCTTCAAATTTTTCATTTTTTTTTAATAATGTATGATCATGTTATTGTCAAAATTGAAATTTCAACTGGCTAAGTTTTACTTTTTTTTTTTTTGCATAAATAAATTTTTAAATTGGTAAAAGAAAAGAAAGCTATGCAATTTAATCATTTATATCCAATGTCAATCATTTTAATCAGTGTTTTTAAAATCTTCAAAAGATTTTAAAAGAGTACATATACACTTGAAAAAATGAGCCAAGAAAAAAAAAAAGACTAGAGAAGGATAAAGTTTCTCTTTTAATTTCTTCAAAAATCTTATCGCTCATTTCAATTCTAACATTTCTTTGTAAAACAAAATTGTCTTTTTGAAAGTAAATCCTCTGTGGTTTCCTTTTTTTTTTTTGAATAAATTTGAATGCTTTTTTTTATTTTTTTGGAACTCAAAATTTCTATTTCTCTCTTATTCATCAATATTATGACAAACATTCTTTTTTTCCATCTTCTTAAATCACTTTATTTTGGTATAGCTTTTTCGAAAATTTAACAAAGTAAATTATTATTATTATCATTATCATTGACAACAAGGAAAGATCATAGAAGTATAACTAATAAATAATTTGAATTATAAATTAACAAAATTATGAATGGAAGTAGCTAATATTAATTATGGAAAATAATATATATTAAATTTAGTTAAAATTATGGTAACTTATAAAAGTTCATTTTTTCAAATCATTTTTCAAATCATTTTCAATGTAAGCAAGCAACTATTGTTTATTTGCTATGCAAAAAGTAACAAATTGCTAGGGCATAAAAAGCAGACAAACATACTTTAGGCTAATAATAATTACTGATATTGTTCAGGCTATAAGCCTAAAATCAAATTAA